GCACGGGCATGGAGCACGCACATGCATGTCCAAACACACCTCCCGGCAGCACTTAAGACAAATAACTTAAACACCTTTCGACAGCAGAGAGCCAGGAGGTGCAGTCAGCAGCGTGGTCATAGCCTGCTGCTCCCCTCCCAGCTTGACTTGACGCATTTTCAATTAGTTTTAAATCAGAACTAATTGAATGCATTTATGAGTATCGTCCCGTACCGTTCCGTCCCGATCGGGATTGCCATCTAGGCAATCTTATCTTAACAGTTATGATGTCCAGCATGTGGCAGGCCGGCCGCTTGTTTTGGCATTCTTAGCCAAAATTTATTGACAAAATTTGCAACACAGATTGGCCGCACTCGGGCCAAGGGAAGGCCCCAACCACATGAGTTGGCCGGGGAGGAAGCTGCACGACCAGAAGGTAGACAGTGGGCAGCAACCTGCCACTGTCGAAAGCCATGGCCTGCCTTGCCGCTGCCGGCATATGGGGGAAATCTATGATGTTGATGTGGTCTGGGTGCATAATAAATGGAGCACACTCCACGGTCCCCATGGTCCTACACTTTGGCGGCGACGGTGGCAACGGTGGCAACGGTGGCGGCGGCGCATGCAAAGAGGCAGGCAGGTCCGCGCAGATGGAGCGAAAGGCAGCGCCAGCGATTGTCCAGAGATTGCTAGGACAAGTGGCGCTGGACAAGCTGCCTTAAACAAAAAAAAAACACTAAAAAGTAACCGCTAAAAATGGGAATCAGGAAGCGAGCGCAAACTTTCTTTTTTCCTTGTTTGCTGTTTCGTATTTTTAAAACCCAACGGCTGCCGCTCTGTCAGCTGACAGAAGCTGGTTGCTACCACACAGATGTATTTAATATAAGAACGAAAACCAATAGTATATTTTGTTCGTCATATTTTGACCTCGAAATTGATAAAAGTGAGTCCTTAACATTAATCAATCTAACACATAATAGATTCATCAATCGCTTAAAATTATGTGTTCAGTCATGAGGATACTATCTATCCAGCAACATAAAGCCGAATATCAAACTAAAGGAATTTTATTCTCGATCAGTACAATTAACCCATTGTCAACCAGTTTAAGTGGGTAAGTCACTCATCAGTGGTATATCGGTATATAATGGTATATTTAATAAATTTGCTGGTATATTTCGATATGTTTTGAATAGTATTAGTATCGATATAAATTTAGAAATTAGATTTATATAAATTGCAATTCAGATGGATCTCATGAGATGAGATAGTTATGGCTACAGTTATAAAAGTCCTTCTATAACTATAGCTCCTGCTAAGGATTTGTAAGGACCTAAACTGGACATAGACGTACAACAATCGATAGTATTGTGTTCGTATCGATAGCATAGCTAGGGCTGCAAAAACTTCACTACCGACCAGAGCAAATTAAAATCAATTAAAATCAATCAAAAGGCGCGCATAAAAAAAGCAATAGCAACAAGCAGCTGGCACCCAGAGAATCGCAGCAAATTAGATAATAGTTTAAGCAAATACCTGATACCTGAACGACAGAAAGGTGTGAGGGATACCGGCTGGCACTGGCAGCAAGAATCCAATCGATTTTTAACCAATGCTAATTTGCTTGTTTATTGATTGATTAGGCCGGCAGTATGTGGCGACACCTCCCCACCATCACAAGCAGAGTCAGCAGCTTCAGCAGAATGCGCAATTTCTCCGCCTTGGTCCAGAGCAAGGCTCTGGTCAATGGCAATTGGATAGACTCCAGCAACAGTGCCACCTTCGAGGTGAGGAATCCCTCCAGCGGCGAGGTGATTGGCAATGTGCCCAACATGACCGTGTCGGATGCCCAGGACGCCATCAATGCGGCCAAGCAGGCCTACGAGTCCAAGGAGTGGCGCTCGCTGACAGCCAAAGATCGCTCCAACCTTTTGAAGGTGAGTTCCGGTTCGAGTGGAGTCCGCAGCCCATGAGCAGATAATTCTGATAAGCTTATCGCGCACCTTTCAGAAGTGGCACAAACTCATAGAGCAGCATGCACAGGAGATAGCCGAGATAATGACCGCCGAATCGGGCAAGCCCATCAACGAGTCCAAAGGGGAGGTGGCCTACGGCAATGCCTTTGTGGAATGGTTCGCGGAGGAGGCTCGTCGCATCTACGGCGAGATCATACCCAGTCCTGTGGCCAATCGTGAGATCATTGTGATGAAGCAGCCCATTGGTGTGGCAGCCCTAATCACACCCTGGAACTTCCCGCTGGCCATGATCACCCGCAAGGCTGGAGCCGCACTGGCTGCTGGCTGCACGGTGGTGGTGAAGCCATCGGAGGACACACCGCTGACAGCTCTGGCCGTGGCCAAGTTGGCCGAGGAAGCAGGCATTCCCAAGGGCGTGATCAATGTGGTCACGACCAACAAGGCAGCCCCCATTGGCGACCTCTTCTGCAAGAGTCCCGACGTGCGCGGCATCTCCTTCACCGGTTCCACGGAGGTCGGCAAGCTGCTGTTCCGCAACTCGGCGGATGGCATCAAGAGGGTCTGCCTGGAGCTGGGCGGCAACGCGCCATTCATTGTCTTCGACTCGGCCAACGTCGAGAAGGCCGTCGAGGGAGCCATGGCGTCCAAGTTCCGTAATTGCGGCCAGACCTGCGTCTCGGCCAATCGATTCTTTGTCCAGGACGGCGTCTATGAGAAGTTTGTGACGCAGCTGAAGCAGCGAGTGGAGGCGCTCAAAATCGGCGATGGTCAGGTGTCCGATGTCCAAATCGGACCCCTCATCAACCAGATGCAGTTCAAGAAGGTCAGCGGCTTTGTGGAGGACGCTCGCGGCAAGAAGGCCACTGTGATAACAGGAGGCAAGCCTCTGCCATCGATCGGGCAGCTCTTCTATGCACCCACAATCATCACGGATGTTCCGCCCACGGCCCAGCTCTACACGGAGGAGGTATTCGGACCCGTCGTCTCCATCATCCGCTTCAAGGACGAATCGGAGGCCATCCAAAAGGCAAACGACACCAGGCGTGGCCTGGCCGGCTACTTCTACAGCGAGAATCTGCAGCAGGTGTTCCGGGTGGCCAAGCGCCTGGAGGTGGGCATGGTGGGCGTCAATGAGGGCATGATCTCGACCGCTGAGGCGCCATTCGGCGGCGTCAAGGAGTCGGGCGTGGGACGCGAGGGCTCCAAGCACGGCATCGACGATTATGTGGATATCAAGTACATATGCATGGGTAATCTGAAGTACGATTGAAGTCCGAGGAGCCCCCAGCCGATGCTTTCATTTGCAGTCTTCCATTAGATAAAATGCAATTTGTTGTTTGTTGTATACTTGTAAAACACGCCGCTATAGAAATAAATGTGCACAAAATATCAATAATCACAATCTATTATTTAAGGTATATTAAAGTCATTTTCAAAATGACCGCCAAACTCCATTTAGCGTACAAAAAATACTGACATTTTTCGCTCTCAATTCGTGGTGGGCTATCAAAATTTGCTCTCTTTTCAGAGGTGAAGAGAGCGTTTTCGTGGTGACTTTCCCCTCTTTTTCGTGGTGTGAGAAACATGGTCTTAACGGGAACGCGTATGGAATGAAGATTCATTGTTGCGTCATTCCATACGCGATCCCGTAAGATGCATTTGATTTGTATGTGAAAAATTTCAGCAACATGGGGAAATGAATTGGCAGCATTGTTGTGCAACTTTGGCACGGAATGAGCAACAAATCGGAATACCTTGGGAAAATGGATCTTATGGACTTGAGATATGGTCCGTAATTTTAGGCTCCAATTAGTGCAGAAACTTTGTTTTAAAGATAATAACGAAATTTTGAAGCTCACGGGTACCAATAATAGGTATCAGAACCTGGATAAATTTATTTACAGATAACAAATCAAGTGCATATATAGGTATAAAACATGTAATTCTAAGACAAATTCATTATTCATGTTTCATAGCAGCTTGGAACAAAACATTTATCATAAATTAAAAGATATAAGGTATCCAAACGTCCATACGCTTGCAGAAACTAGTTGACCGGCAACAATGACGGAATGTGACCAGAGTTCACACTTACGTTTTATGCTTTGGCCGTTTTTGTTTGAATCTTATTATGTTAACAATCCAATAAAAAAGAGATCTAAAAAATAGCCAATCCTGAACAAAATTTATTGAGGATTTGGATAAAATTATTTGTGTAGGGCTGAGAGGGCTAACTAGCTAGTAATATTAAACGGAATATCGAAATCGAGGAATCTTGTAGTGTGTTGTCGAGTCAGTCAGTATATTTACGGTATATTTTGATAGTGAAAAGGTATATTTCGGTATATTTCTGAGCCGGTATATTTGATCATACTGGACGCGGTCACACTGGACGCCACAAAATAGCCGACATGTCCGATAAAATTGTAAGTACATTTTTGTTAATAACAGTATGAAATGTGCCAATTCCGTGCCCTGGGATCCACCAATACGTTTGTGAAGTCTCTGCAGTGTGTGTCCCAAGCCGTGAGGGGGACTCGTAGCCCCAACAGCCGGCAAACAAAGTCGGGTCGCCGCGTTGTTGTTGTTTTTGCTCACCGTTGCTCGGCAGAAAATATAATTTTTGGGAAAACTGTGTAATGATGGAAAGTGCATGTGAAAATGTGTGCGGCTCTTAGGCCCAAGGCCAGGGATGCGGTATGCCATGTGTATGAGCTGTGGGTTTCTTTTGGTAGTCCCCCCGGCAAAGCAGACTGCAAAATAAATTGTACAATGACTTGTAGATTTTGAATGTAAAAGTGCACCCACATTGGCTGGGGTGGTGGTGGTGCAGAGGGAGAAGGCAAGGTTTTGGTGTCGAAAGAAATCTAAATACATATTTGAAAGAAAAGAGATTGATGGCACATTAAGAGAGATTTTAAGAGCACAAATTACGTTATTTAATGCAAATGCGGAAATGGGAAATTGAGAAATGGGGTGGGTGCTCTTGTGGCACATTTTGGCACCCAAATGCATTTGTTTTTATTGCGCTGCCAACAAATTTTCACAGTCAACTTTGCGCCTTCATGACGTACAGTCCCCAAACACTAAATAAATAAAGGCCTTTTAAGGCTTACCACCCACACCAACCACCACCCAGCCCAGCCACTCACCCAACCCAGGACCCAGCAACCAGTACCCAGCCCAGACCTACGACATGGCCAGTGCTCCTCTGATGCTTGAGAATCTGCTATACAAAAAACGCAATTTGGTTTATGCTTTTGCCCGCCATCGTCTGTTTCTGTTATGCAAACAATCGGTTTGATTTCCCCCTAAAAACTAATTCAAATTAATTAATTGATAATTTACTTTGCTATTTTTCTATTACAGTTATTAAGAGTGCAGTCTGCCGAGGGCATTAAACGCATTGAGATCTCACCCAAGTCAAATTTGAAGCAACTCTATGACAGTGTCCAGAATGCCCTGCAAGTCGATGGATTCGGCCTGTTCAAGGAGCGAAATTTTCTCACAGAACTGCAGGCCAGTGGCTCCCAGCTGGTGGGAACCGCACTGAAGCATGGCGACATGATATACTTAAAACAAATGGCTGGCACTTCATCGCGGGTACGTTGTAAGGTTTCTAATGCAATGAACACAGATTTTTCATACTCAATTTTGTGTTTGCAGCGAACCAGCACCATTGCCATTGATAGTCAGGTGTTCCAGGCGACTGCAGCTAGCGAAAAGCTGATCAACAGCAATACGAACAGCGCTCGGCCCTCCATTAATGTGATCGAGGATGAGGTGGATCAGACCCTGACCAAAGCCGATGGCACGATTAAGCGCGAACGCGATAGCAAGCTGTAAGCGTTGGGCTCTGTCTCCTTCGATAAAGTTTAAATTGAATAATCCATTTATTACAGGTGCCATCACAATGCCAATGGCCGCTGTGTTCATTGCTCGCCGTTGGAACCCTATAATGAGGCATATTTGAAGGAGAATAACATCAAGCACCTGTCATTTCATTCGTATATACGCAAGCAGACATCGGGCATGGATCATGGCAAATACTTTGTATTCGATGATATCAATTGCCGCATCAAGACCGGCTGTAGGGAACATCCGCCATGGCCCAAGGGCATCTGCTCCAAGTGTCAGCCATCGGCCATAACCCTGAATCGTCAGACCTATCGCCATGTGGACAATGTCATGTTCGAGAATACCAAAATTGTAGAGCGTTTCCTTAATTATTGGCGCACCACTGGCCACCAGCGTATGGGCTATTTGTATGGCACATACGAGCAGCATACGGATGTACCGCTCGGCATACGCGCCACAGTGGCAGCGATCTATGAGCCACCGCAGGAATCGACACGGAATTCGATCAATATGTTCCCAGATGAGGGTGCCGACGAAGTCGATGCTGTGGCCAATGCGTTAGGACTGAAGAAGGTGCGCGGAAAAAACCTTCTAACTTTACACCACACGTGTACTATAATTTTTGTTTGTTTGTTTTTTTTAATAGATTGGTTGGATATTCACTGATCTCATCACGGATGATGCAACTGCGGGTACTGTCAAACAGATTCGTGGCATCGAGACACACTTCCTCACCGCCCAGGAGTGCATAACAGCCGGAGAGCTGCAGAATCGTCATCCCAATCCATGTAAATATGCTTCAAATGGTGTCTTTGGCTCAAAGTTTGTGACCATTTGTGTGACGGGTAAGTGTTTTCCCTTATCATTCGATTCGATTGGAGTATTAATCTGAAATTCTATTATAGGAGATCAAACCAAACAAGTGCATATGGAGGGATATGCGGTGTCTGCCCAGTGCATGGCTCTGGTCCGTGATGATTGTCTGATACCCACCAAGGAGGCTCCCGAATTGGGATATGTGCGTGAGTCCACAGATAAGCAGTATGTTCCAGATGTCTTCTATAAGGTAAGTGATATAAAAGAGATATGTTCCGGGTTTTGGGGTTCAGCAGCATTTATTGCAAACTTTTCACATTTAAAACACATTTGCATAGATAGACACCAATCGAACAGGGATTAAATTTCAATTATTGCAATTTAATGCTATGTAAAGTTTTGATTATTTATGGACACTTAACACTTATTTACCATCTATATTTTGTGTAGGGTTTCTTTTTAAATCTGCTCTGGATTTTCAATGATCATTATACGTTTTCTCCCTTCTCCGTTTTTGGTTTGTACTTCGCATCATTGCTCTCTGGGGCCAAATTTCTATGCCAAATGTCCATACCAATTATGATTTGCAACAAACAGATCTTAAGAATTAGGAACCAGATACACGTACATTTATGGATATATCTTTACTCGAGTACATGGGTTTCGTTTGCTCTTTGCCCTTTGAGCAAATTTTCGGAGACATTTCTTCGTTTGTGAAACGTTCTTTTCCTACCGTGTCGATGGTTTTGTCTTAGTGTCTGCATTTGGGCATTTCTTTCAAACAATATTTTTGTATAAAATATGTAGAATTCGTATTAAAATTAATAGAATATTAATATAATTCATTTAAAATATATATTAATTGGTTGTAGTGCTTCCATTCGTTCCATTTGATTTTAAAAAGATGATAATTGCATTAAATCAAATAATTACATATGTATCTGCCTTACTTATTTATCTAAATTATGTTTTATATCTTATTTTTAATATTAAATATTATCCATCAGCCATCACATTTATTATATCTCTAGTCCTGGGTTTTTTTTTGTTTCATTTTTTGATTTTAGATTCTTTTAAAAGTCGAGTTTAAATTTTGATATTTTTTTAACTAAAGTTATTTCAAATAATTAATTTGTTAAATAATAGTTCAAACCCTAAATCAGTCTAACCTAATGCAACAATTTCGTATTCTTTTTACATATATACTTTTATCAAAATTACTCGAAGCCTGAAACTTTTAAACTTCAATTGATCCTTCGTTTTGATATTCCTTTAAATAAAATCACTTGTTCCTTGTTAATGATATAGGACTATTCTAGAATATATTACGAGTACGAGTATATCCGTTAATCACACACAATTCCTTTATAATAGTCACAAAAAAAATATAATGCTTAAATAGACATCAAACATGTACTTATGGTAAATCGATTGAGCTTGCTATTGTTTGTTCTTGTTGTAAGAATTGGATAAATCTCCAGTAAATATAGTTAACATCTACGAAAGATTTCACCTATTCCTGTTTTTTTCATAGAGGTTCTTATTAGTTAAGTTTAATAGCTCTTAAAATCGACAGAGACGTACATACAGAGTTTCTTGTGGGGGAACACCTTATATCTATTGTAGATCGTGTTGTATTGGAAACCTCTGCATAAAGTATACATACCGCCAATGTACATACATATGTACATGACGATGTTTTACAGAGGGAAAATGAAGTGTTATTTTGTATAAGGAATTTTCAGGGCCAGGGCTTTTTGCTCTAAATATATCGTTTGATATTTTCCATAGCTTTCACAGTTTTCTTGTTATTCTTAGAGATTCCTATTGTAGATTCATATGTTTATTTATCGTGTATTTATGTATGTGTCATGTGTATTATGGACCATCCATAATTTCTGATATATCTTATAACTAAGCGTGTCTTTTTGCTTATTGTAATTAATTTATGGGCAGGTAACGTCGTAGCGCTCGAAACACCTGTAGTGTGTGTTCATCTAGACCTTAAAACTAGTAAATTTGTATACCAAATAATTTCCATTTTGTCTTTAACAAACAAGAATTTTTTCACAAATTTCGTTGAATATTTCCAATCGACTTTGTATTCATAGAAGAACAAAATAATAATTAATTGTTACATTTTGCTATTATTATTTAAAACAGACTCCAAATGTTGCTTTTATTTATCTCATATCCTCTCTCTCTCTCTCCTCTATCTGTTTTGGTATTATTATGTATTTCGTTTTGTAAAATATTTCTAAAAGGTTCACAAGTCTTATTATTATTATATATTTTTTTTTAATTTGGCTGTTTTTTTTTATTTTTATTTTTTGATTATTCCAAAGAATAACACTATCTATAATATTACAATATTGTACAATATTGCAATCAAAAAACGTGGACATCAAAGAGATTTCTTTGTCAAAAACGGGAGTGTCTTAGAATACCTTACGATATATATTTACTTAACGATGCATCAAAAATTGTATATAGTAGATCCGAGTAATAGAGCAGCTCATGGGGCGAAAGGTTGGTCCGATCGGTTGTTAGTTCATTCAGGACGATACGCGCCACAATCTTTGATGATTGATCGCATGCCAGGAGTTCCGATGGGGCTGCCAGTGGCAGCGATTTGGTCAATAATTTCGATGCCATCGATTATGTAGCCAAATATGGCCGTAAATGTCTGATGTTCGTTGAGCAGCACCCGGAATTGGCTGCCGACGAGTCCGTAATGGTCGTAGCGTTTCTGACTCCGCCGCATGCCCACCGCTCCCCGACGGGACGCTAGTCCAGTGTTGTCCGCCTTAAAGAAACGCTCCTCAAAGGCGGCATGTCCTCCGCGACCGTTCTGCGACTCAAAGTCCCCCGTGATGATGCTCTCATTGCCCCAGGCCTGAAATACGACGCATCCCCGGTAGCCAAAGCCGCGATCCTGCCGTATCAGTGAGCCAAAGTTTTCGGCCATCCGGGGCGCAGCGTCCTTGTTCACTTCGATTAGTACTCGCCCGACCAGCCGCCCTGCTATTTCCATGTCCATATAATATATGGGATAACAGTGTACTGAGGGCAACCGCCCAATGCTTACCAATCTGACTGTTGCATGGCTATGCCCATGCTGATAGACCACGGAGGGTGTGGTGGGATGCTGTGGCTGTGGCTGTGCCTGTGCGTTGTTCTGTCCAAGCTGCAGCCACAGATTCAGGCGATTGTAGTCATTGTTGAAGAGCTGGGCTGCCGGATGGGGAAAGTTGCAGTTCAAGAAGTTGCTGCTGTTGCTGCTGCTGCAGCTGGCCGAGGGAGCTGGCACCAGAGGCGCCATCAGACTCGGGCTAATCATCGGAAGCAACAGAGACTGCTCCTGGCGGGGCGCAAGCAGCACCTCTTGCTGCATTTGTTGCCAGTACGTGTAGATGCAGTAGTTGGTCAGCATCAAAGCTGGTGCCACTCCACCCCCAGCTTCAACTGTGGCCTGTGGCGGAGTTGGGCTCCGCTGTAGATGCAACAGGCGCTTGTTAAGCAGCTCAAAGCTCAGCACCTGCATGCCGTTCTCGTGTATGATGGCCCGCAGCTGCGACTGGAAGTGCATTTGCGAAAGCTGCTTGTGGAATAGCTTCACCTGCACGGAGGCACGGCCCAGGAGTTGGTGCAGCTCGTAATCACCGAGTACACCCTCGCTCGACAGGCGATTGAGCAGCGTCTCGGAGCGCACCCACCAGTCGTTCATGTGGAAGGCGGCCAGGCTGGGCTTGTGCGTCAGCATCTCTCTCCCGACATGTTTCTGCAGCTGGTGACAGGCTTCAAAGATATCCCGAAGCATGGCCAAATCGTGGCCGGCCAGAGCATTTGCCTCTTTGAAGGCCCTCTTGATCTTATCCATCTCATTGCCGAGCAGCTGCTTGACCAGTTCGCGGAGGTCCAGATGGTGGGACAGCTTATGCATGAAATGTGACGCTACCTCGGAGCAGGCGATACACATCAGAAGTCGACAGGTGTGGCACCAGGTCGTGTTGGGCCGGCCATGGGTCAGGCAATGCTCGCTGCTGTTGGCCAGAAAACGGGTCACGCAGATATCATCCAGCCAGGATGTGGCTGCAGTCCCAGCGGCAGTCCCACCATCGACTGTTTGGGTTGTAGTGTGTCTGTGGTCCGCTTGCATCGCCATCATAGCTTGGCCCAACTCTAGAGCCCGCAAGTTGCGTATCAAATACATGATCGACTCCGGTTCGGGCAACTTCTCCGGCTCTAGCTTGGTGCGCACACCGCAAATGCCACAGACCCACTCTGGCCCAGAGGAGGGCCCAAGCGCCCACAGCAGCTCCTTGTCCAGGCAATCCTTGCAGTAGCAGTGCCGGCAGTCGAGCATCTTGGGCACACGTCTGCCCTCCACGGCATAGAGGTGACCGCACATATTGCAGCTGAGCAGCGGCACAAGCTCCTTTGGAATGTCCATGTTATTCGTCTATCTATGGGTTTTCAAAAGAAAAATTAAATCGGTCGTTGGAAGCTAATAACTACTTTGGACCAGAGCCAGTCCACAGTTCTCTGCTGCGTTCGCCTGTAAATAGGCTAGAAATATTTGGAAATATTTAGTTGGAAAACTACTCTTAATATTGTTTCAATCACTAAGACTGGCTTATCTGATTTCTGAATCGTGTTTAGAGAAATGAATGTTTGAATAATTTAGAGAAAGTCACGAGTATATTTAGATAGTGTTCTAAGTAAAAGCAAATTAACCACATGCGAAATTATTTATAGACTTTAATATGAAAAACAAAAGCTTTTCTCGGAATAATTTCTACAAACAAAAATCCTCATTAAGGATGAAAAATATTTTGGCACATTTTCTGGTCAGTTTATGCCTGGTTTTGTCTTTAAAAGCAAACATGACACCCACAGAGACGTCAGTGACAAATATGGCCTGACCATTGTGGGTGAATCTTCCATGGGGGAGGGGGTTTTAATGTTTTGCCTTGTTACCAACTCGGAACTTCTCTCTTTTTGCTAGCCCGCGTAGAGCACGTTTTCGGCATTTCTTACGGTTATTTTGTTTTCTGTTTGCACTCTTTTTATATTTCGTCTATTTCTATTTCCTTTACACGTTCCGCCCCCCTCTTCTTTTGAAATTATGCAAATAAATGCCTAACGTTTTCTGGAGCAACAGACTGGAATGTTCAGCAATTATCTGTGCAACAAGTTTAGTTTCAGTAAGAAGCAATGGAATGCACCTGCAACATAATCTTTTTAAATTTTAAACATTTTCCTAAAATAAGTAACTATAATTATAAATATTACAAATGAGTTCTGGCAACCTGGAAATTATATTCTTATTTTTCCGCCCCATAATAAAATGTGTGTGTCATAAGAGCTTCCTATAAAAAATCGTTCTGACCGAACAAAATGCCATACCTGTTGTACAGTGTTATATTATCCCTTCGCGTGTCTGCCTCTCTACCCCTATCCCGCTCTAAAATTGTTCATTCTGTGTTTGCTGTTTGCTGTCTCCTTTTAACACAAGCACAAATAACATTCTATTCTCGCTTATAGTTATGACTTCCTTAGCATGCTCTCCGAACACATTTTTCTTCAACCATTTCTGTGCTCCCCTTGCAAATATTGGAATGAATTAAAAATATGCCTTGTCAGATGTTATATCTTACTTTTGTCTTCATTAGAGCCTTGACACAAATTCTTATTTATGGCTATTTTGCTTTGACATTATCCTGTAAAATATTTCTGCTAATTTCATGCGTGTGTGTAACGTTTTTAAATAAATTCCGAATACTTCAACAACAAGTAATCATTGGCTTTTCATGTAACTATTGCTCTTGTTGTTATTCTAACAAAGATTACGAAGAGACAATCAGGGAATGGCAAGGGAGAGCTTTTGAATGCCTGGTCAGATTGTCATTTAACGTCTCTTTGTTGTAAGTTTCAATACAATTTTCATGGGGTATAAACATATAATCAGACTAATGCTGCAACCAGTGATATAATTATTTCGTTCTTGTATGGGAATATTCTTAAAGAAATTAAATTTCCAGCACTATGAAGGTTCCTACTCTAAAATTCCACCTTCTTGTTGCGAAAGACTGTTTATTCCATGTATTCGCCCACTGCATCCGAAACTTGTTGTGGTGCGTTCAAGGATCTTTGCTTAACAAGCAGATTTTCTAATTAAAAACTAAAAATTTATATGTACATAGTAGATAAACAAATTCTGACAAAACCTGTCTATCAGGTGTCCTTTCGGGGAATTACGGCTTGGGAGTCAAATGTTAATTAAACCAACTTTATGTGGGTTACTCAAAGACCAGATAAACAAGATTTTATATATACAAAATTGCTAGATTATGGAAAGTTATACATTGCAGTGCAATTATCTGCACTGGCATAACGAATTTATGGCACCCTATCGTGGCCCACATGCATTTTGAGTACGCCTTGTTGCACATTTCGTTGTCATTGACGTTTGTGCATATGTCTTATGACCTATGGCAGCTGTCGAGGCCTTTTAACTGCTAATATTAACGCATTCGATTGCAAAATGAAATTAAAAGTTTTCCACTCTGGAAAAGCGGAAAACTTTTCACCATTGGGCTGCATGTTTTTGTGCAAGTTCATGTATCAGGGAAGCCCCAATAAAAATGGCATACAATTTTTAGTTGTTTCTGACACGAGTTTAATTAGAATTATTGTTGGTTTTTATTATTTGAAATGATTAAATTAAACCTATAGAACATGCTTTGGGAAAACAAACCAGTGCAAGGGATAAGCTGCCACCGGTGCATTTTAATTCACATTTCGCACAATTAGGCACACTAAATTATTCAGAAATCCTTGAGTCATATTTAAATGCATTTCTGCATTGAAAGCTTTTCCCCAGAATTGCGACAATAAAATTGTAGGACAAGGATTTGCTTTAAAGTCATAAACAGAAGCGAAAGAATATCTGCAAATCGATAAGCAATTTTCGCACTCTTGTTAGTTATTCCATTGCACTGAAACTTTGTTTTAATATCTGCGCCTTGTGGCAGGCTATAATAATGTGTTGCATGTTTCAGCGTCCCCTCGCACTATGGTCCCAATGACCACTTTTGTTGGCCAAAACCCATTTTTCAAAAGTAAAAAAATAACCGTGGTTTTGGTCACTCTGTATTAGAAAAAGAGTGAGCTTATAAGTTGCGTACCAGAAATTCCCATAGATGGCGCCACATTCGCAAAATCAGCTGTGCAACCCAGCTGTTGTTGCTGACAAGCACGCGCAGTGAAAAAGTGTAAATTTAATTACAGTTTTAAATCTCTCATAAATTGAAAAATACGATTAGCTGATCAAATTTTTTGATTGAATCTTAATTTGTTGGGTTTTTACTACGTGTTTTGTATTGTTAACTGTATCTCGTAGTTGTGATGTCTTAGTACTTTTAGGTTAAAATGAGTCCTTTTTTTTTAGCCAATTTTGATTGAAAACTGATTTTTGAAGACGTATATTTAGTGAGTCCCACCTAGTCCCACCTTGAAATCTATTGTGTGATGCAGATTAATAAATTCTTGTTGAAATGTATACAGTAAGAAATACCACATTTGACCACAAATCTTAAAATTTTCATTAGTAGAATATAACCTCAAAATCAACAATACAGAGTTGTTTGGCGTTCTTTTTTGTGCTAAAACAATAAGTTGAATGCCCAGAGAAGGCTTAATTGATTCGCAAGACTGTACAGAACCCAGTAAGAAAACCGCAAACTTTCTGACCCAACGAGCACCCTGGAAAACGCGTTTTCCACCCTGACACAAGGGTTTTTCTCTAGGTGGCAACAATTACAAAAATTTTTTGTTTTCAAATCAAAATTTGTGTTGTTTTTATGCGTGCCACGCCTTTATAATTTTAATAAAAATTAGTTAAACTAATTTCTTAATAAAACTGTTATAATTACTTCCTATTCCCTATCATTAACTATTTTTTAATATGCATTATCAAAAAAAGGCGGTGCCACACCCATTTTTTTTTTAAATCTTCTTCCTATTGATTATATATATACAATACAAGAAACTAATTTGAAAAATCTTGTTTCGTTTTCGAGTTATTAATTTTGGCCAACAAAAGTGGTTGTTGGGACCATAGTGCCTCGTCCGGAGTCTACAGACACAACCGCAACTTCCCCTTTGCTTTAATTGTCATAAGCCAGGAGCCAGAGGCATGGCAATAGCCTTTCCTTTCGATTTGAATGACTCTGAGAACGTGCAGGGAATACTCAATCAATAGCAAAAGCCAACAACAGTTTATAGTTCAAAAAGATTGATGCAGGTCCAAGCAGTCATTCTCGAACACTAAGTCCAGGGGATAATTTTGAGATCTTTGCAATATATCCATCCCTATGCCAAATGTGCACGGAATAGGCAAACAAGTTTAGTAAGATTGTGTTGAGATATTAAGGGACCTATTTATGGCAAATATATCCTTTATTATGATCAGGTCGAGGGCTTTCCAACAAATTATAGAAATAGCAGAGTGGCAGGCAAAGAATACAATGAATAACCCCTCATCTGACACTCAGTAATTTGTGTCCTTGGAAATGCCAGGCACGCATTTGTAATTTTTCCCGGAAGAGCCAGACAGAGCGAAAGTGGAAGTGAAATACAGGCGAAAGAAAATCATTTGCTCAAATTAATAAACAGAAATGGGTGGGGTGGGGTATGGGGTATCAAAAGGAATCAAATTCGCACAGTTTTCACCCATTTGTGGGGGGTATTCTGCTTTATTCTGCTGTGTCTGTGGTTTTGTTGGGTTGCGAGAAGAGTTGACAAATAATTAGCATACTTTTGCGGGCAATCGACCTTTTTGATTGATGGGGCCTGTGTCTTTGTGTGTGCTGCTGCTGCCAGGCTTCAATCATGCAAATTAGCCTTCAGCTGAAATCAAAGCAAAACTTTGATGGATGTGATATGTGGAATTTTTGCAATTTATGACATATGAATGTAAATACATCTAAGAAAAATCGTTTCAAACAAAAAAAAAAAAAAAAACGTTTGCTTGCAAATATCAAAGTGAATCCATGGATAATTATAATGCAGAAACTTTGCCACAGGATGCTTTATTATATAAAGCAAAAATAAACCTATTTCTTTCTTAAATATCCCCCTCCGATTTCTAGAATAAAATTCACATTGCTTGTACTCAGAAAACTTTAGATTTAAACACTGCTTTCATTTAGTTATATCTCCCATATCTGCTTATCAACTTTATATTAACCACTGATTTCACTGCTTTCTTATCTGGCTTACCTTATGGGTATGCAAGTTATCCAGCTTTCAATTCGCCTTCAATATTTCCAGAGAATAAAAACGATTTAATTCCAATTTTATTCTTTGTTATATTCACAGCAACCTGATTTAATTTGCGAATGTATGTATTATTTTTGTTTTTCACATAAATGTATGTTGGTTGGTTGGTCTCTCCGTTTTTTGTTGTTGTTGTTGTTTTGTTCCTATCGTCTAGAGGAAAAATGCATCAAAAAATGTTCCTTAGTTGTGGGCGCTATTGCGATTATTGTTTTGGGCATTGGCTCCTCTCTCATCTCCCCTCATTTGCAGTCTTTTCCTGTCTCTCAGTATTGCATGCACTTGAACACTTATTAGCTGAAAATCATGTATTCCGCTGGACACTAATTAGTTCAAATGACTCCGGTTTGGGATGCACTTCTACCACCTTCCATCTCACACTATCTTGTTTTTTTTTTTTTTTTTACTTTTTTGTGCACTTGCAGGTGGAGGCTAAAGCTTTGAATATTTTTCGTGTAGTTTCACTTTTTGGAACTATTTTCTTCTTTGCTACTGTCGCTGGAGACTGCTGATCATCTTCCTCTCTTGGCTTTTGCTGTCGCTTTTCCTGCTGTGAAATTATTTGTTCTTCCTGTTGCTGTTGCTGCTGTTGTTGCTGCTGCTGCAGTTTTTGCTTTTGTTCCTTTAGCTTCTGTTCCTCCTGTTGCTGTTGCTGCTTCTGCTCCTGTTGCTTTTGTTGCTTCTGTTCTTTCTGTTCCTTCTGTTCCTGCTGCTGATGGTGCAGACGCGTCTTGAATGCTGCATTGCTTATCTGCCAGCTATTGGTCAGAGAGCGGAGCGGCGGCTTCGTATGCAGCTGCTGATAGTTGGGCGCTGCACTGGCCAGTGCTGCCGATGGCTCTATGCTTGATGATGAAATCGTGGACGAGGCCACTGCCGTCCAGAACATGATGCGGCTCCTCAAATAGAGTTTCAAAAATCAAGAACACTATAAACTCTATCTGACTAAGCATTTTCATTTAAATCGAAAACAAAACAAAAAAGATATAGCAGCATATATTTCTAGCAAAAAAAAAAACAACTTGTAGTTATATCACGTCGCGGTCGGATGTTTCAAAAATTCAGCTTGAGTTCAAATGCACAAATTATTATTTTTATCGCGGGTCCTGGTCCGTTCCGTTCACATTTTGTTGGAAAATTCAGCCACAGCGCAGTGGGCGATGGCTTTTATAGTAGCACCAGGCCAGAGAGTGTGGACGAGAGCGAAAGCTTGTTAAGCTTTGCTTGTGTGTAGGACGATGGCTCTCTCTCGTGCTCTCGTGCTCTCGCTCTCATCTTTCAGTGCAGGCTCCAGCTGGTTCCAATGTCAATGTCAAGCGGGTCTCGCTCTCTCTATCGCTAGATATGCAAATTTTGAAGCAAAGCTTTGGGACCTAATTTTGGTGTTGCATAGATTTGCGTATGGGCTGAATGCACCTTGGGTTAGCATTCGATCAACTGATTTCTTATTCATTGACTTCTGTGGAAAACATAACGGTGTGGCTATAAAAATATTAAATAACTGAATTTTCCATCATCAGAAGCCTCACTTCTGAGAACTTTTATGTTTATTTTAATACTTTAGTATGTTCCACTCCCACATCAATGTGGTGGCGGGCAGTCCACCTTTGGTATTTGCTTTGAGTTGGTATTAATTTTATCATCTCGCCAAACGAAACAAAAATAAAACATTTTGAGCCTATATTTTCAATGCAAAGCTTATTTTATTTCCACGGAAACTACTTTAAATGATCTGTTGTTCTGCCGAACTTCATTTAGATTATATACTGAACAATTATGGTGTGTTCTCCAGAAAACCAAACTTAGTTATAATTACCTGCTGTAGTATTTTTAACTCTTTTCCGCATTGGAGACTTAATTGCAGTTTTATTCACATTAAACTGATGCAATTTACGAGCATTTTGTTTTTGCCATAAAAAAAAAGACAAAATGTATGTTGCTTGATTGCTTTCCCTTTTTCTATCTCACATCTGAACTCTAGCGGAAAAATCCATGAGCAAATATTGTTTAGTTGTTGGCACAACAGCCCCCTATTGATATGGCGTTTTGGCAATTATGTTTAATCAAGCATTGAGGAGTGTTGAGATACAGATAATAATACACTTATAAATGGCATAGCCTCACTTTACACAAAGTAGTAGCTCTTTTGTTTTCTCCCCTTTTAATTGAATTATGCGAAGAGTCTATCAAATTTTTGCTAAACCCTATCCACAGACAGACTCGTAGTGCTATGCAGCAGCACCCTTAGGTCGGGCAGTGGTGGGTGCATTGTTATGCGTATGGCTCAGCAAACTTGTTAATTGACAAAAGCTAAGCCCCCCAAACAATGCATGTGTAGCCAGTGGGTGGTTGGTATTCCTTGCATCATTTTCGATCTGTGACCAAATGCAATTTTCATGCTTCGACAGCAACAGGGCTAATAGGGCTGCAGCAGCAGCAACACTAGCAAACACGAAGCGTGGCAGGAAAGCTCAACTTGAAACTCAATTTAAGCATTTAAACTTGACTAATTTAATAAAAGAAAACAGGTAACAGGACATTTCTATAAAACAAAAGTTAAGTTTGACTCCTGGAATTTTTAATTGAGTTATAGCAGCTTCCAAACATTCTCAGAATTATCGCTGCATCTTAAATTGATTTTGTTCTGTTTCACCGCTGGCCGATTGTCTGCTTATCCAAGTGCAACTATTGGATGGCATTTAATTCCAATTGGATGCACCTTGCATCCTGGTGGGGCCTGCCCACAGCGTGTGCACACACACAGAGAGAGAGCCGGACATCAGACATCGGAGCAGAGCCACGACTTATTGACTCTTCTTCCTGCCCTGTCGCTGTCCCTCTGGCTATCCAGCTATCCAGCGTCACGCCCACTCTCTGTCAAACTGAAATATGCAACATTAATTGCGTTTTTCCGAAAAAATGCAATATTAAAGTTACTAACGGCCGGGGACTGGACATGCATCTTCAACATTCAGCCTTTTTTCCACCAGTAACTTCCAACTGGAAGGCCGCGTATCCATCAGGTACAGGTCCTAAGTGATTCAATCAGTTTGTTGGCCTACCCCGGAATAGGGCTAATAGAGTTTAGCATGTCGGCCTTGCATATCGCTATGCATATCACTATGCATATCACTATAGAAAAAATTCAAAGTGCACTTGGCTGGCATTTACGGATGGATTTGCCTGCAGCGGAGGACAGTCTGCAGACAGGAGCTCCGCACTTGTGACGCGCACAGGACTGTTGTTTGACTGTCTTTGACCCCCTAACCCTGAATGTCTTGCATCCGCTTATAGCCTGCTACCCAAGACCGACCCAGAGCAAACAGTCTGACGACCTTGAAGCTGAATGCGAGTCCAGGCCAGCCCCTGCAAGGACACTCTCAAGCTAACAGGTTGCAAGAGCTTTAAGAGAGAATCAGCAGAGAGAGAGAGAGACAGAGATAAAGAGTGTGAGTAGGCGGGAGAGAGCAAAGCAGACGTCAGCAGTTACTGGGTGCTGTTTTTTTTTCCGTTTAGATGTAGGTCAGGTCAGTGGGGCATCCCCAATGCTAAAATATTTGTATGCGTACTTGCATCTGTTGTTCTTTTGTGTGCTCCGTTTTCAATATTTGTTTTGCCAGCAACAAAGGAATTTCCCATCGCTAACAAAGGTGGGAGGGAGCTAGCCGAGAACTTTCCAATAAAAAACCACGCACAAAGGATATTTTTGACCGGTGGAAAAGTACAAGTATTAGTTTTAAGTAAATACTCTTTCAAATCGAACTGTGCATCTTAAGTGACTAGCGCAAAAAAGATATAAAAATTAAAAAAAAAAATTAACCAAAAGTTACCCAAAGTATTTTCCAATTCAGTGACTACAAAATGGATGGTTTTAATATTTTTGCTAACATTTATTTAACTTTCAAAAAAGGATGTATATATGTATATGTATTTTACGGATGGGCAGCATAATTGTAGTTTTAAAAGTAGCTTTTTTATTTATTTATACGTATTTTTACGATATAGCACGCAGAAATAACACATGCAGCAGCTCCATGCCCGTCTCTAAAGGCAACGAGTTGCAACGGGCACGTACGCTGTTCGTCCGCACCTGATGGGGCAGTGCGTTTCAGAACAATAAGACTGTTGAATTTTCATTGATTCATTTTTCAGATGGCCCTTACCTTTGGATTTAAATCTGGGCATACTTTCATGGTGCAACTCTTCCATTGAGGGGCATTTAAGATGCATTAAATACTTACGAATTCAATTGTATATAACTCTACGCTACAACTATGTTATTTTACTTACACTCTCCCATTTGTTTACCTTTATTTGCATGTACTCATGTAGGAAAAAGATCAATATGGCAACGAGGTTCAGCGTCTGGCACGTCCTCTGCCCGTGGAATATCTGCTGGTGGATGTACCCGCCTCGACGCCGGTGAAACCGCAGTACACATTCACAAACTACGACAAGCGGCAGGCATTCCCCATCGAGAATCGCTACATTGACGGACATTTGCAGGACTTTAGTGCCCTGAGCGGCTATCTGTCCGCCTGGGGCGAGGAGGAGTTCCTCGAGGCCATGTCCGACTTTCATTTACTCGTCTATCTGTACAAAATGGACATGCTCCCGCTGCGCCAGCACATGTCAGCGCTGCTGGAGGCGGTGCGCACCAAGAACCCCAATCGGGCGGCCGACTTCAAGGGCGAGGAAGTGTGGAAGCAGCTCGAGTCGCTCATTCAGGCCAGTTCCGGCGGAAGTGGGTGAGTATTTTACTCTCTCCCCCCTGCAAACAATTCCCCAACTTATTTGTGGTTTTGCTTCCTCTTGTAGTGGCACCACCAGCTATCCCAGCGGTGGCGGAGCGGCCAGTGCCGGCGGTGCGGCTAACGCAGATGCTATGGATCTTGATGAGAACACCTGGACGTGCAACCACTGCACATTCATCAATCGCGGCGACCTGCAATCCTGCGAAATCTGCTCGCTACCAAGATAAGGATCCAACCCCTCCCCCGACCTTTCCAACCGCATCCTGGATGAATTCTTCTAAATTATTGAGTAAAACGAACTAAAGATTCAATCACACACAAGATACACAACAGCTCGTCGATATGTCGCGCATTCTCTATATATATGTAAACGTCGTGTAATTTTAAAAAATAAATAAAAAAATTACGATGGATGGAAATATTAAATTTATTTTTGAATAAATTTCAATTATTGCGCAGACGCCAAGTGTTTACTTTATTTTCCGTGAAAAGTAAAACACAACTTTTGTTATTTTTTGTAATTCATTTAATGATTTTATTCGGTGCTCCAGTGCTTCGAAAGCGGGTCATCTTCAGTTTCCAAAGCAGAGATCAGCAGAGATATGAAAATTATATATTACATTTTATTAGATAGTTAAACATTTTTTAGATCTGAAACTAAACAAAATCCTACGTCCAGTCCGGTCTTTAAATAATGATTTTGTTAAACCTTAGAAGCGGGTCCTACCATTCCAAATTTGCCAAAAAATTTTGTATATATTTCTAACAAGAATCTAATTTTCTTGTTTCGACCGATTTTGCTTAGGTTTAAAATCGGTTTAATGATCAATTCTCCTGAGTTTTACTTTTATTTTTAATCGGTTTAGTCTCCGTAGTTGTTGATTTTCGTACTACCTTTCGTACTATTGCTTTGTAGGTTGAAGTAATGTTTTCAATAGACAATAGAAGCTTTAGTAGATCCTTCAAAACCATTATGCCGATGAGCCGAAAACTGTATAGATTAATTTTTTCAGTTCCGTTCTTCTAATTTTTTACTGTCTGTATGTTATTCCAGTTGATCCCTTACACTACTCCATCATTACTGTTTATCTATAAGCTCTACAGTGTTAAGGTACTAATCCACGTAATTCAATGATTGTCCAATTCGCAACCAGATTTTAAATAAAGCAAATAAAAACAAGCAAGTTTAATTTTTGTATTTTTGAGGTGACTACAGTAATCGGTGCTTTTAGATCTCTTAAAAACCTAACAGAATACAATCACACAGTTTATTTTCATATAGGAACCTTTTGGCATAGTCCGAACATAGAACGTCAAAAGTGGGGAAATTAAACTAAATTTCTCGTGTTCAACATTTTATTACCTAAATATATTTTGGCTGAAACACAGAACATTTTTTATTTTTTTGCTCACCAAAATTCTCACACGATTATTCCGAACAAACTATTCTTCGAAATTAACCGTGATTGCTACCTGAAATTTAGTAAAATTTGAACAAATGGCGCTTCGTATTTGGACTGTGGGGATTAAGCGAAATGCTCTGCTAGCAGTGCCCACAACAAGGGTGAGATCCAAACCGATGTCGACAGCAATTCGACCGGATATGCTCATTTTTTTCCTGTGATCTTTAGATATTTCGCTTCCCAGTAAAGCGCACTCTAATGGAGAGAAGTAAGTTGTTTTTGTTGATTGGCAGCCAGCGACTGACTGATCGTATGGCTGATCTATTGGTTGTATCCTTGCAGAGAATCTGCAGCCGTTTTTCACAAAGCCAAGCGTTGTATTCTCAAAGGAGGCCCTCGCGCATCATTGGGGGGTAAGTACAGATCAAGATCAAGTACAGTCACAACAAATCTATAATCGATGTACAAAAGTGTATGATATATGTATGTAGGTGGTTTCTATAGTACGTGTATACGTGTCTACGCCTAAATAACGTGCCTCTAACAGACGCTTAGAGCTGTTTTAGATACGAGTATAGATGTTATAGTTCTAATAAAAGATTCCATTGATAAATGAGTGCTTAAAGTAAATGGTCCTACTTACTTTTATGTGAGTGTGTGTGTGTGTGTGTGTGTGTGTAGTAGGTATTCCAACTAAATATCTAATGTACCAGACTAACTACGCGTAAGATTTTTAATTACAAACTGAAAACTGGATGTGTGTGTGAGAGAGAGAGAGAGAGTGTGTGGAGTGGAAAATGCACGAAAGAAAATTGTTTTGAAACTACAGTACCAAAATATTTTATGTGAAACATTTATTGTGGTATATATGTATACATATATATATATATATATATATATGTATATAATATAATTAATTATATTATTACGCTGCGACAATTAAGATGAGTTTTGGTTTTTAAGTTTCGTGTGGATTCTGTGGGTCAAACAGCAAATTTATACGCAAATTTAAGTTTACACATTACCAACGGATGTCTGTATGCTGTCTGTCTGTGTGAATGAGTGTTTTGTGTGTGTGTGTGTGTGTGTGTGTGTGTGTATATGTGCTACGATCTAATATACTAGATATATCTATGAATACTTTATATATAATTTTATAAGTCCGTACTTGATAATAATAATAATATAGTAATTATACTGCATAAGAAGCTAAGGAAACAGCATTTCAAATCATTTCGAAGAGCTCTCTCCGAGAAATCTCCCTATATAACATATATTCGTTTTGCGGTATATACTCGTATAATATAAATTTTGGTATTGTATTTTCATTAGTACACAACTGCACAAACACTGGGCAACATAAAACTACAATTCAATGCTAAGAATTCGTATATGTAATATGTATGTTTTTTTTTTTCTTTTACATTCAGACACCCAACTATAGTATACAATACATAATACATACATACTCTATATAGTTATGTATAGTATGTATACGTTTTAGCATTAAATTGGTTCATCTTTCAACACTGCTCTTAGGGTCTAATGTTAGCTGCTTGCATCGTTATATACTTGTTTTCAAGATCATGCATACGTTTTCATACGTTTCTTTAAAATACAAATATATATGTATATATATATGTATTACTTGAGTTTTGCCTCAACAACAACACATCGGTATCAAAGTTATATGTTATATGTATGTGTATATATATTGCTTATACGTTTTTTGTCCCCTACATCGTCTATGTAAGTAAGTAAGTACTTCAAACGAGCACTATATGTATGTGTATGTATGTATGTTTATCTGACTGTTAATTGTTGCTGATTCCACATGATTTACCTTTTGCTCTAATAAACTTTGAGTTCACACTAAAAAGGGGTATTGTCCGCATATGTATATTTTCTTATATAGAGTTCTTTCGTTTTGTTTTTTTTTTGTTTGCCATCGGATCATGCATTTGCCTTGAATGCCCTAGATAACGCAACAATTTAGAGCATTATAATTTAATATAGAGAGTGGAAGAACAAATTGTATAGTATGTACAAATCATGTTGGATCTAAATGAAAATACCGAAAGTACTGCGCTAAAAGCATAATTATATCATACAATAGAAAGGTGGAAATTGAAAACCAAAAAATGAATAACAAACTAAAGATCGATCAGATGCTACCAAAAGCAAGTACTCTTTGCGTGTAAATTACATATTGAAACGGAAAATATTTTATGCGGGAGGGGTATAGTCGAGTGTACTGCCGACTATAAATTACCCGATACTCATAGTAGATGAAACAGCCCAGAACTGGGCCTTTAGGACTGGAAATGGGAAGGTAATAATAATATACTTATGAAGTGTCCATAGAACAAGTTCTAGAAAAACGGAGCCAAACAAATTTTAAAAAAATCCCAAGAAATATATTGAGTACCGGATATTTAAACGGGGGTCAAATAATAATATCTTCGGCTAATGCAAATGGTGTACTTATGTAATATATCTTTGTAAATCGATATTGAGATATTACTGATGGTGGCAATCATTTAATGTTACTTTTACGGTTACTTTTACTTTTACTTGAACGATTACGGTTACGGTTACGGTTACGTGGTACGAAGTACGAAACGGAGAGTACATACATACGTTATACAAAGTACATTTTACAAAGTCTAATATGACGGTGGTTTCTAATTCAACTATCGACTAATTGATTACCATATACATACATAGATATATATATGTATATGTTATTGTATAATATATAATTAGAGCTAATCTTAATGCTAAACATTAACATTACATTACGTTAAACAGACACTTTTAGTTTGATTTTTGTTTTGTTGTTAAGGTGCATTGTACAGCAAAAATAATTGCGTGCAAACTACTACTCGGTACGATCAAAAATTACATGGAAATGTGTTGCTGTTCATTCATTTGGTTAATGCTTTCAATTTGAAAATAAAATGCCAAGATTTTATTTGTAAAGATTTCTTTCACATTTCATTTATTCATTTCAATTCAATTCAAAAATGGGGTTTCGTAAGCCAAGACAAGCGGTTTTGTCAATTGAAAAATTATACAGGTTCACATTATACATATGTATATATTTTGTTTGTTTTTTGTATCAGCAATTGGTTTCGTTTTGATTTTTCATGGGTTTCTTGGGCTCAAAAAGGATTTAGACTAAAAAGAGAGTAAATACCGTTTACATGTCCTTTGTATATATAGAAAGAATTAATATGTGTCTGTTAATATGAGTGTCTAAACATCGCTACAAGTATAGAGCGAGAAATAGAGCGACAGCAGTTACAGTTACAAGTTACAAGAGTTACGAGTTACAGTTACAGTTACAGGGTGTTGTATATAGTATATATATATATATATAATATATCCGTTTCTCATTACAGGCTAAACAAAGGACAACCATCCCATATACATATATATCCATACAATAGTATATATGTATGTTGGCTGCAAATCTGTCTGCCAATCTCTACTGCCAGATATTGGCCCACAAACTAAACTCAATTCAACGGGGGATTCCATACTGGGTTTTGCTTATGGCCTAAAAGATATATCTCATATATGTATGTATATGTGAAAACTTATGGCTAAAACGTTCAAATGTTTTATACCAAATCGTTCAATATAATGCACTTGCTTATCGTTTACATAGTTTGGTTTTTTCTCGTACCTCAACTTTTTCCCTCACTTCTGGGGAGAAACAAAATGTACAACAGTTTTAGTTAAGAAAAGTGTTTTTTTTTTCTGTCTTGGAGTTATATCCGGTCTAAACCATATATGGGGGGGGGGGGGAAAAATTGAAGCTGAAAATCAAAATCAAAACCTATACATCTCCTTTTAGTGGTGTTTTTTTCTTTCGTTTAAAATTCCTCGTTGCAAAAATTGTACTGCTCGATTTACGTCTAAGAAGTTTCGCCAAAAGCTGAGCTCTTTTTTTTCCCCAATGAAATAATACCTGGGTGCTAGACAAACCAAATCTCAATTTAACTCAAATGGTATACCCGAAATTTTGCTCAAGGTTTTTCTCCATGTTTAGTACTCTTGGTTTAAGAACTTTTGTCATTTCGATTAGTTGCTGGAAGACGAGTCTAAGTTGTTTTTTATTTTATTTTTTATTTTGCTCTTTAGGAAAGTTCTTTCTGCTAAAAAGAATTTCGTTTGTTGGTTTTACTCACCTCTGGTTTATATTCTTTTTATACATTTTTTTGTATATTTAGTGGTTTTTATTTTCATTTTGTTGTCGACTTATCATGGAAGTCCTTCTGTTGTATGAATGCATAAAAATTGAACTTGGTGTTGAATTCGTTCGTTTCGTTACGATTTGCTTTTCTTTTCAAAATATAGCTCAGTATAATTGATATGTTACGAGCTGGTAAAAGTAATCATCTCCTTCCTTGCTATATGTATAAGAAAACATGTTTCTCGTTTAAATATATAGTATAATATATATTTTGCTTTTAGTTTTTTTGGTATATATTTTGTTTGAATTTGTTTTCACTTAACACTTAAATTACGAGTATATCGGCCTCTGAATGACGACACTGCCGACTCTTGTTTTGTCTTTGATTTTAGCATTTCGTTAAGCCTCTGAAATGAGCATAAACAGCCGCCATTCACTTTCGCGTCTTAATCATTAGAATATATCATGTATTTATATATAATTTTAGCAATTGATAAACATATATAGCTTGTGGTTCAAAGCCCTTGAACACACTCGTCTGCATTGCTTCGAAATTATTTAACACGTTCATTTAGGCATAGGTTCCAGCTTAAAAACTAATTCTCAATAAATTAAACTTTATTTCAGAGCATTTTGAATGTGTTATATGTATGTGTTTTTTGTTTTTATATTTACCCGGCATACGCCAGGGGAAATAATTGCTTTTAGTATTTATTGTGTACGTTCGTTTTGGTTTTATACGTTTTTCTTAAATGTTTATTGTTGATTTTTCACTTTATACTTACCATTCACTGTGGTTACAGCTTTTGGAGTGTTAGTTCTGTGTCTATGCACATCAATTGACTAGATTGTTGAGAGTGTATTGTGTTTTTTGTTTTTGTTTGTGGGTGTTGGTGAGTGGTTGAGTGTTGGGTGTTATTTTATAGCGCTTGGTTTATAAGGAAACTATAACAATGCCAAAAACAATAAACAAGAAGCCAAAAAATGCCAAGTTGTCAACTGAAAAGATACTAATTAGTTAAACTATTTCGATTTCGATATCAGTTTCGTTTTTTGTTTGTTTTTTTTAGGATCTAATAACCTGATTTTTGGAATTCCGCTAAAAATTTGGTCCTCATTGGTCACTCAAATCAACACGACTTTCGTTGTGTATTAATCTAAAAACCATATCCACGAAAAAGAAAACTCGTTTCCTGTGATGGTTCCTTCCCTAGAGATTCGAGTTCCCTTACACGGGTTAACAAAGTTTTGGGTTTCGGTTTTCTATTTTCGGTTTTATGGGTATTATTATTGGAAAACTCTATCGTTCGACGACACCATTCAATCCAAGTGATATGCGTGGTTGTTTTTAGTAGCCTTCACAACAATTTCTGTTTGATGAAATGTTTTCTTTTTTTGTGTACGGAGTATACGTATACCAAAAAAATCTACTCTTAGTATGCAATTTGACACATTTTGAGAGACGATGCCTCAATTCTACAATTGAGATATATATATGTACATATTATATATAATATATATAAATTTTGTTTGGTTTTACTAATTGAATATATCACGGTCTTTCTAAATATCATCGCCTGTATGTGTATATATCTGTATATGTATATGTATCTGTATCTTTAATCTGTATATATACTATATGCATGTAAATATCTATAAAGTTTTTGTTTTCGCCACTTCAGTTGATCGAGAGAACACTTTTCCACACTATCTAACCCGACTATACAAATTGCTAAAAACTGTTTTCCTTTTCCATCCAGGGAATCCATGGAATCCATTCCTTATCGATTATACATAGTACATATACGTATGTATGTATGCAAGTATGTATGTATGTATGTATATGTATGTAGTATAAGTATAAGTACTTTGCTCAGTTTGTTAGGTAATTTGGTTTACGAATACTGACACTTGAATGCTGAAACACAGTTGATCTTATTGTCATATGATGTATGTGTGAGTACGAGTATGTAAGTATGTACACACGAGTATGTAAATGATAATGCCTTGCTAAATGCCGGACTTTTGGGGGGGAACTTGTTTTCGGTCTTTCGGGGAATGCTACACAACTGTGACAGATAATAGTATTTACTATGTATGTATGTATGTATGGGGTGTCCATGTCTCTGCATACTCTTGGAGATTGCTATTGTAGTTGTATACACGAGTATATAGTACGTAAAAGATGTTACTCAATTGACTACTAAAAACATGTTTCATCATGCGTTTGTTCCATATATATGTATATGTATATATAGTTATAGGTATGTATAACTAACTATGTTGTATGTGTGTGTGTGTGTGTGTGTACAAGTAAAAGAAACGAAACAAAATAAACTCCAATTCGAGGTGTGTAATGTTGGTCTTTTTATTACATTAAGTTCTTGTTGTTCTTGGACCGATGAATAATGAATGAAAAATCAATTATATATTGCTTGTTGGTTTTATTTTGTTTTCGTTTGCACTGAATATAGGAAACTCTTGGCGACGCTACACGAGACACGAAAACATAGCAAAAAAAAGTTACCGATTCTATTTGAGTTTTGTTTGGGGTTATCAAAAAATATATATAGAATATGTATATGTATATATTCATAGAAATATATAGAGAGAGAGAGAGAGCGGCTAGAATAAGTACATATGTATGTATGTTCGATCTGTTACTATACATTATCAAAATGAGCAAGCTACTACTTTGGGTATATATTTTCGGTACGAGTATAGAACAGAAAAAAAAAAACATTTCATTGGATTATAGTGGGTAGTATTGGATGTTGTATATTTTGTTGCTTATATCGAATTCAGACTGTGGCAACTGTTTACGATTACAAAGAACTAAGAATTGGGCGACAGACACTCTGGTGTCCGTCTCCACTGCTAAATGCTGAATGAATGTTGAAGCATACGAAAGGTACAAATGATACTAAGTATTGTATTCTTCAAATTTGTATTACAACTATGAGAGCATTTTTTGACTTCTTGCGTTTATCAGCTAATATAAATAAATCGAAAATGCATTAATCAATAATAAATATAATTTTATTTGGTTTTTAGTTTTGTTTTAATATAAAGTATATATGTATGTCAATAGAACATACATATGTAATCAATGTGTGTGTGTGTTTGTGTGTTTTTAAAAAAAAAAAGGAGCAATTGGTTTGCATAATTTCGTTGGATTGGCAGGACACAATCTCAATCTTAGGCTAAAAGCAATGGTAGTTCTGAGATCGAGATCTGACAGGAGGCGGTGTATACAAAACAAACATGATAATGATAATTATTATTGTTAAGTAAATAATGGCACCATAGCACGTGTGGAATGCGTTAGAGTCTTAAGCGTTAAACAATAAATAAATAAATACATAAATTAGTAGCTGCCGGTGGATATGGGTCAATACGATATGGGTGGGATGGATACGAGTCTCGAATCCGTCCAGCAGTGGGTGAAATGAGTTTAGAGTTTCGGTTAATATTCAATATCTTTGGTATACGAAATGATAATACATACAACAATACTCACCCCTCCTCCAGGCATTAAACTACAAGAATGGGGTTTACAAATACAAGATCCGTTTTTTTTTGTTTTGTTTTTTTTTTATGTACGGGATGTTTCAACATCTACACATGGCTGAGATAGTGGAGCAGAGACAGACAGGAAGAGACAGAGAGAAGAGCACAGCAAAATACAACAGATAAAAGTTTGTCAAATAATAATGTCTATAATAGCTAAAGATACATACATATCTGGGTAAAAAAATATATATACAATCGAACCAAAATCAAATCATAAGAAAACACAAATAATGGTTTGCTCGAAATCATTGGCAAAGTTTCGCTTTCGGTTTTTTGTTCTGTTTGTTTGTTTTTTTTATTAAACACATAATTACTTCAAATGTTTCTCAATATAATGTGTGTGTGTGTTTTTGTGTAGGTGTAATGTAGTATATAAACTAGGTATTTACATACGCAAATATTACTTTCCAAAATGATAACTAAAAACTAAAATTAAACTTCATGCAAGCGAATCAAATATATGTGACAAATACATAGCTAGCCAGGAGCTTCAATATCTCCGGATTCCTTTTCCATTTCTTTTCTTTGTTGCTTATTTTTTTTGCTTTGTTGGGTTTTTTTTTTATGTTTATGGATGAAGTATTTGTCGAATGCAAAACTCAAATGCAAATGCTACAGGTAAAGATAATTACAAAATAATTTTTTTAAAACTAATATTGTGCCATTGATAGGACAATAAACTACAACAAAATTAGGGATTTTACCTGGTCTATGAGTGGGATGGCGTTAGATGGATAGATAATAAGTAGAAATTATGGAAAATACAAAGAGATATATTAGTAGTGGGTGCCCTAGGGATTTGCTGTTGCTGTTTCGAGAGCACTTTCGTCGTCAGACTACATCAAATTCATCCAAAAATCATAGTATGCAAATGCCAAAAATGATTACGATAATACAATTGCTACAAATGCTCGAGGACTTCATGGTTGATTCGAGACTAAACTATATCTATAAACTAAATCAAATCAAATCCAATGAAGTGAGACAGAGATTCACACACACAGTACGCAAATCGTAAGAGATTTGTTCGTTGTTTGTTGTAGTATTATTATTATTAATATGATTAAGTACACAGAACAGAGTAAAGAGAGATGAGATAGGATAGGAGAGGGGGATAGTAGATGCAGTGTATTTTTCTGTGGTGTGTATGGGTGATGTTTGGTGTGTGTGTTCTCTTGGGGATGAATTAAATTCGAGTTCAATAACTAAACTAAACCACTAAAAATAATAGTTTATGTTTAGGTGTGTGTGTGTGTGTGTTTGTTTGTTTTAGTTAGTTATGTTTTATGTATATTAATTAATTTATAACTCTTTGTCTTGAGCAAAATGTAATTAATACTGCATTTGCAGGAGTTTCTTCTTTCATTCTTTCGTTGAGTTTTAGGCCTCCAAAAAAAATATTAACACATTCAATTAACGAGCGCCTTTTTCGTTATAGTTTAGTTTTGTTGCTTGGTTATTAGATTCATCATGCCTTGCTTTTCGCTTCTTTTATAAATATGTATTTTTTATATTTACTTTTATGTTTTGAGTTTTGTTTTTTAATGTTTAATGTTATTAATTCTTATTTAGTTTTTAATGTTTAATGTTTTTTTGTTTTGTATTTTATGCACTAAAAAATTATATATATTAACGGCTACATTTAAACGCAATCACAATCGGTGGTTTTTTAATGTGTTTTTTTTTTGTTTGTTCTTCTTTTTCTTTCTTCGTAATTTTTGCTTTTTGGTTTGAATTTTGTTTTTCCTTGATTTCGCTTTGCTTTTCTCTCTAATTTTTTTTGTTTGTTTAGTTTTGTTTTTTGTTTTGCTGTTGCTTATATTGCTTATGATTTGTTTATGTGTATATATATATATATTAGTTATAATATTTATTGAGCGCCTTCGCGAGCGCCTTAAATATAATACTTAATATGCCCCCTCTGCTGCGTGGGGGGTGGGGGATCTGATCTCTCTACGATCTAAGCCGAACTCAAAGGAAAACCAACTTCAGATGAGTATCTCTCGATGAGTGTGAGTGTGAGTGTGTGGTATGGGTGGATGTATGTATGTATGTACGTTTTAATGGGGGCTACTACTAGGGGGTCGTGTGTGTGTTTCTGTTTCATTCAAATTACCAAAAAACATAACCCTCTTCCTAAGCTTAGACATACATGCCCATGCCATACATGGCACTCCAGTCGACGCCCTGGAAGCTGGACATATCCACATTGGCCAGGGCGTAGTTGGAGTAGGCAGCCGGATTGGCGGCCGCTGCCAAGGCAGCTGCAGATGCATTCAGTTGATTTCCACCGGCGGCCACAAGTGCCGCCTGCTGGGCAGCTGCCAGGCTGTGTGCACCAGCAGCGCCGGCTCCGTTCGCGGCATTGGCCGCCAGGGCAGCGGCCGCGGCGGCGGAGTGAGCCTGCGAGGCAGAATTTGAGGCGGCAACGGCAGTGTGGTGATTCTGTTGGTGCTGCTGGTGTTGATGCTGGGCCGCTGCGGCCATGGCGTGGGCGTTCTGGTGCTGCTGGTTCTGGTGCTGTTGCTGCTGCTGCTGATGGTGGGCAGCGACGGCGGCGCTCTGCGCCTGATGGGCCTGCATCAAGGCGGCATTGGCAGTAGCGGCGCTGGCGGGGATCGAGTAGGGTGCATACCTATTCGGGGAGCGACAAACAGATCAGATTAGTTTCATTCCCATTCAGAGTCTGCGCTTTACGGAGCACTCACCTGACATGTTGCAGCGCAGTCTGTGGATATGTGGCTAGCAGCTTGCCAAAGTTTGCGGGATTGGCGGCCATCGAGGCGGCGGCGGCAGCTGCGTTTTGTACTTGAAACGGATTCTGGGATATGAGTGCGGCCTGCTGGGCAGCGGAGGCTGGAGATTGCAGCAGTTGTTGCTGATTTTGCAGCATGGCCAGGGGATTCATGGCCAGTCCTCCTCCACGGGCTCCGATCAGCTGGCCGGGTGCTGTGGGTAGTTGAACGCCAAGGTTGCCCAGCATGATGCGCTTCTGGAGCAGCTGGGCGGCCGGTGTGACAGACTCCTTCGGCTGGGCCTTCTTGCACTCGACCTTCTTGTTCTTGATGGTGTGGAAGTGGATCTCGCAGACACGATCCACCACATCCTCGTTCTCGAAGGTCACAAAGCCGAAGCCGCGATGGCGCTTCGTCTGCTGATCCATCAGCATGACCGTCTCCTCGACGGGTCCGAACTGTGCAAAGTAGGCCTTGACCTCCTCGGCCGAGGTGTCCTGTGAGACGCCGCCAACAAAGATCTTCTTGGTCTTGTTGGCCTGACGGGGTCGATTCTTGGGCGTGGCATGCTTAGGATCGATCTTCTTGCCATCGAGCGTGTGGATGGGCACCTTGAGCACCTTCTCCACGGTGCAGGGATCTTGGAATGTGATGAAGCCAAAGCCGCGACTGCGCTGTAAGTTGTAAGTAGTCGTTTGTGAGGGAGAAAGACAAGAGAACACGAAAAGAGGTTAGCACACACGTGGAATAGTTTTGGGGGGGATAGATAAGAGAGCTGTTGAGAGCTGTGGTGGGTTAGAGGCGGCTAAAGACTAAGTTGCAAATTGTATTATTATAGTATAGCTAGGATTAATAGTCGTAAAAGTTCCTACGAAACGTTAGCAAAAGTCCAACAAAGTAAGAATCAATCGATCGATCAAGGTCTCGATCTTCCACAACGTATATAAAAACGTATGTATATATAGTAGGTAGATATATGTATATGTAACACACACAGATACAGTATATAGTAGTATGCATGTATATGGGCTTAATCGACTGAGTCGGGCGTGGCCTTTTTAATACGCTTTCCTTTTGCATCAAAATTTGCATTTAGTTTTTTTGCTCGAGTTAAACAACGTAAAACAAGTGTCAAATAAATTCAAATCCAAAAAAACAACACAACTAAAAACTATAATAATTCGCTCTAAAGATACTTTTGCTCTGTTAACAGAATATATATATATGTATATTGATTGATTGATACGCAAGTAGATCGATCGTTTGCTAAACTGGAACATACATATATCATAGAAATAGTATTACGATATGGTTTTGGTCTTGGCCCCTCTAGAAACCCAGGAATTGTAGATGTGGGAGTGGCAGTAGTAGATAATATTCTATGTACACGAAACTCTATACCAAAAAGATTCGTTCACGCTTTCTTCACTGTATACGAAACTCAACTCAAGTGTTAATTAAGGTACATAATAGTATATATGGTAGGTATATATATTGTATGTGGCAATTACATATGGTGTATGGGGATAATAAGTAAGGCTTTAGTAAATTGATATGTACGGGGCAGTGCGCTTTAAAACTATAAAACGCCTATACAAAATTCATCGACTGATGGAAAAGAGGTTGATACGCTCTACAAATGTTCCCATAGGCAAAAGAACACACTCGCTTTTTGCTTAATAGGTTTAAAGCGCACTATGTTTAAGAAATACGTTAAGTAGAAACGAGTGGAAATGCTCTATACGAGTATGTGTTCTAATATAATGGTCTATAGCTTTTCGGTTTTCGTATCACTTTTTTGGTTTTTTGCCATACAATTTCTGGTTTTTTTTTTTTTGCATCTGTTAGTTTTACTTAAATTTTACTTAGTATTTTTTTTTTTTACAGAGAATGAGATTCTTGAATGTATGATCTTTGCTGCTTAAACTAATTAATAATTCTCAGTCATTACATATATTACAATATAATGGGGGTATACAGTTATCGCTTAAGGCTAGGGCAGTTCAGATACAATTTATATAGTACATTAATCCAGAGAGAGAGATATAGAGAAAGAGAGAGATGAAAACTATGGGACTACCTACCTAACGAATATATAAGTAGTATACAATATATGGTGTGTATGATCTATGTGTAATTTAAACCTTCAAATAACTTTAATATTTTCAATATATGTAGAGATCTTTAATTCTTGGATTATCGGGATGGGTCAGACGGGTGGGTGGGTAGGTTGTAAACAACTATCTACAGATATGTTAAGACCTAAAGATTATATCCTAGAATTTTCGATTCGAACTCAACAATCTGTACTTCATTTTTGCACTATGGGTAATAGGGTAATATTCTAAGCATAATTTTCAACTTCCTTTCGGCCAATTAATGGGGGTATAAGGCGGAAACGGATCGCAGAAACTTAAAAGCCAACAACATAAAAAAACCATACAAATTTTCAGAGCTACACAACTAAATAAAAATGTACATGGTATGCTTATGGGTATGGTAATATTATATGATTTTATATGCCAAACCAAAAATTATAAAGCAAAAACTAAACACAGAAACAAGTTCGCATTAAGTTAAAGAGTTATACATATAATATATATAATAAGGTCTACCGATTACGGGGGGTATTGCAATATACATAGTATTTATTATGGTATTAATCTAAGGCTATATTCTTATTTATGTTACACAATCAATAGTTCAATAGTTGCCAGGACAATCTTCGATTCATATTGGTTCGCTTCTCGGTTCTCATATTGCTGCTATAAATGGACCGAGGATGGAATATGGAGGGGTGTGGGTATAGTAATATTGGGTTAATCCTCTTTCAGCTAAAGTTTGAATTGATTTCTAGATTTTCATAACTGTGGTATGGTGAATGGAAAATTTACTCGTTAGTTTAATTTTTTTTTTATTTTCTTTTAAGGTTTTTTTTGCTTAAGATCAATGCGTGGTGTTTTTTTTTTCTGGGTGAGAGAGAAACACTAAAGTAAACCAAGTTCATAATACAGAGTACAGATTAGAGGAGTACGAGTACGAGAGAACGAGTACATTCAATTAGAGATACGAGTACAGTTATGCAGTTATTATTATTTGCTCAGAATTATACGAAATACGAGAGTTACGATGCGCCAGCAGTTTTCAGTAATTCAAGTACGCTAAACGTTCTCATTTATACAGTAGTTAGGATATTTGGCGATTCATTTTGTTTAGGGTTTTTGGTTTTGAATGAAATGTACCTAAGTGCCAGCTCTCGGCATCCGATCGGATTATTATCATCATCCTGGTTGGTTGATTGCGACTCCTTCTCCTCTCCGGATGGGTTCCAACGTTGTCCTTCCTCACTTTTGGGTGTTCATTTTTGGTAATTGTTGGTATTTTTGTTGGTTTTGTTTTTGGTTTTTTTTTGTGTGTGTAGATTATAATTATGTTATGTTTAGTAGTTCATACGAGCGCATTCGGGGGATTTACTACATAGGGCTAGCTATATAATAGATAGATCTTAAATACTTATAGCCTAGGGCGGCAATCTAAGGCCATTCCCCTTCCCTTATCAACGGCGACCCGAAACATAGATCCCTTAGATATCCCACCAACTCCAAAGACAGTTGGTAAACCAGTTTTCAACTTTTCTTTTTTTCTTCCACTTCGTTCTTTTGTTTGGTGTTGTCTCTTCTTATTTTAAAAGGGGGGGAAAAAAACAAAAGGTGTTTTTTTGTGTGCTCCTGTGTGCGTGTGTGTGTGTGTTTGTGTCATTCCTTGTTTACTTGCGTTTACGTATGAGAGACAGAGAGGACGGACGGACAGCCAACCCCGTTAGTCAAGCGGCACAATGATCATCATTCAGAGTTGTTCCTGCTGCCTTGCGAATAAAAACTTCCCCGTGAAGCAGTTGTAGTTGTAGTTCCTCTGGTTCCGTAATTGCGCAATTGGCTCTCGGCCCAGTGGCGGCGGCAGCAGCAGGCGAGAACAGCGAAACTACCCTAAGCCTACGACGGACCCCACCTTTTTGTATGGTATTGTCCTGTGCCATAACCTGAATTGAATCGCGCCACCGATCCCAGGATCGTAGGAACAGCTGCGCGCAAGCGAGGCGGACAGGACTCGTATAATGCGGCAGCTGCTATTTTATTGCCCGAAAAGCGGCGCGCGTTCATCGATGGGGAGCCACAATGAATGTGTGTACAGATGGATGTACATACCACATAGGATGTGTGGATATTGTCCGCTTATCAAGCGGACAAATTGCTTAATGCATTAATGCATTCTGAAAACCCAATTTCCGTTGCAGGAGCTCTGCATTCGAAGGGGAAATATATCAGTAGACACTTTGAAGGTTTCAAATGTACAGGAAATTATTTAAGGAATGTTCAGCAGGTAAGAAAACAAACAGCCATGTAATAGCTCCAAATTTTAGCCAGAACTTGGAGTTCATTATATTTTAATTTCCATGCTGAGCCAGACTTTGGCAACCCTGGATGGTAACAGCTGATGGCAGACACTTGCAGACAGAACATTTATTCAGTTTATCAAACACTCCTTCAATATTCAATATAGTGCTCGGTAACAGCATCCCCTATAATCTACTCATCTTACACGATCTGCATATAAAACCTGATTTACGCCGCCCTTCCTCTTCCTTTCTTATCGTTGTCTTTTGTTTTTGGCACGTAACCGAAAAAAAAAACTGTAATTCTAAACCTCTGCTTCTGTGGCAGCAGCAGCGCAGCAGCTGAGCAGACACAGCGATTGTGTGCGTGCGTGAGAGAGGGACAGATAGCGATTTGAAGAGCAGAGCAGACAGACAAAAGTTGGCAGTTTTGCAGCTGTGCAAAAGGTACCGAGAGAGAGGAAGAGAGACACAAGCAAAACGGACGAACAAAAATTGTAGCTGTAAATCAGAAAATCTGTGCAAACGACGTAAAACGCAAATAAACAGCGAACAATGCGACCAAAGGAGATTATGAAAAAGGTAGAAAATATACGTAGAATGTGAGGACAAAAGGAGAACAGGATAGGATAGGATACATACATACAGAATAGTAATAGAATAGAATAGAAAATACCAGAAGCATAGACTACATTCTGCTTACCTGGGTGACGGGATCCTTCATGATGAGGACATCGGTGACGGTGCCAAACATATTGAAGTACTCCTTTAGCTTGTCGGAGGAGGTCTGCCAGCTGAGGCCGCCCACGAACAGTTTGCCCGGAGCCGGATCGGAGCCACTGCCGCCAGTCAAACTGGGAGTGGAGCGACCCGAGGAGCCGCTCTTGTTGCTCAGATTGGCCCCCCCTCCGCCATTGCCATTCTGTCCGGCCGCCGATGCATTCACATTCTCCTTGAGCAGCGCCAGTGCAGCCTGCTGGGCAGCGACCTGCTGTTGCTGCTGGGGATTGCCGCCACCGTTGGCGGCGTTCTGTGCTGCGACCTGGGACTGATCCTGGCCAGGCGCCACTATGGCACCTTGTGCCTGCTGCTGCTGTTGCACCTGGGATTGCTGCTGTTGCTGGGCAGCGGCGGCGGCGCTCTTGAGCACGGCTGCTGTGGTCAGGGTGCCGTTAATGGCAGCCACACTGTTGTTGGCTATGGAGGCGACCAGGGCGTTGTGCAGATCAGGATGGTGATGGTGTGGATCGATAAGGCCGGCGGCGGCGGCTGCTGCTGCAGCGGCAGCGTTATCCATGGGATTGCTGCGGGCAAAAAAGAAGGTATCGGCGGTCAGTAGATCCTCGCGAGGCTGGACCGCAGCCGGAGGCGGCGGAGCCGCATGGTGGAGCATGGTGGCGCCTTCCTGTAGCGCGTGCATTTCCTGCTTCAGCTGAATCTTGAAGGTCGTTGGATAAACCTTTTTTTTCGCGATAGAGAGGACTTTACCCCTCGAGTTGTTTGTGGGGTTTCTAGCGATAACTTGACTACGTTTTTCTGCGTGCGTTTTGCTGCCTCTGTCTGTTGCCAAGGGCGATGCCTGCTATTTGACTTCAACAAGAACGCGAATTAATGCGAATAGAATGTTAATAAATGGAACTAAAACAACGGTAACGAAATGTTCTCTCAACACGACACTTCAAAATTTATTTGCTTTTGCTTCTCTTTTCTTTCTTCTATTCCTTTTCCACTGTTGTCCTGCGGTTGCGATTGCGCCGTAGGGTTGTTCAATGTTTTATATTATATCGATAGATACTATTATTTTGTTGCTAATAATTTTCGGGTAAAATTCGACACTATTTCTGTTGTTTCCTTTTCCGCGGCCGTTTCAAAATTGCAGGATTATCAAGAATTGTCGTTCTATATACGTCACGCTGGCGACGTCATAAATGTTGACAAACTCTAGTTGCATGTGTTGCTGGGTTGTCTGTACTCATGTTGCCTGGGTAATCGGAATGTTATTGTTTCGCAGCGATGTTTCTATACCCTCTCTGCTCTAATTACAGTTAACATATGGTTTTCGAACCTGTTTCTCAGAAGAAGCTAAGTTATGGAGACGAAACTTTAAGCGTTACAAACGTAACTCCATTATAATAATATCAATTTTTGTAGGGTATTCAAATGTTGCTAAATGTTTGAATGTTGCTAAGAGAGGATTTTTATCCTTTTTCTCTCGATCGAGAGAGGGAGAGGACGAGACTCACATTTGCGTTTAAATATGAGTTTCAGGAGAGGAGGAGACAATATCGACAAACGCAGTTATTTGATTTAAATTTTAAAATGATTTTAAATTTTTGCTTGTACATATTTAGAGTATATAGGCCTACTATATAGGGTATAAGTGCCTGCGTGGGGTCAAGTGGCAACTTGTGAGTGAGTGCGAAACGCTGTTGAAAGATATTTGTCATTCCACTTGAAATGTGTGAAGTAATGTCTAATTTTAGATGACTTACGATAGGAAAATGGGCCTTTGTATGGGTTGAGGGCCCCATATAATAAAGCTATGAAAACTCATAATAATCACTATCATATTTTATTCCACAGGCAGTGCCCATTGTAGTGATCACATTGGTTGGATTTACCCTGGAAGTACTGTCATGGATTCGCATAGCCGTCACCCGGGATGATGTGTGGTGGACCAAACACTCGGCCAATGGCACCTTTGTGGAGACCCGCAAGGGTTATCCCGCGCCCAATCGCAAGGTGAGTGTGGAATAGCCCCCCAAAATCGTAATCCGTCTAGACTCTAGAGTGCAGATTGTAATGCCAATGATCTCTGCCAACAGTTCTTGACATACAATCAGAAGTACGAGACTCCACCTGGACTGATTGAGGCCCTGCAGGGAAATACGGATGGTCCTTCGGGTAAGCTCTGAATGAATTTTCAGCGCTTCCTTGCAACTTTCTGCCATTCCAATGCTTCACACCACGTCGTTCAGACGAGGTGTTGAAAATGTTCATGTTATCCGTGGATGTCCGACAATTAATGCATGAAAATGTTCTTTTGCCTTTCCAGACGACGACAAGGAGGGCAAGGGCGGGGGCATTAGTGGCAAGAAGTTAGGAACCCATATCGTTCTTACCGGTGCTGCCCTCGGCGTTGCCGCAGCCGGCGCCGTATACGCGGGAGTCATTTAAGACTAACTTATAGAACGGGTAGAATGGTGGTTGCAAGGCAGCGCCGATCATTCTCGCACTAATCCATCATATCAACCCCACACCACAGATGAGAAAAAAAAAACGAAGAAGTAGCTGAGAGCGGTGGCTTCGTATTCGGAGGCGTTCAGATCCGCATGGAGGTCTTATTTATAATCCTATTGACCGAAACATTTAGTTAAAATTGAGCTGGGGCCGTACTAAGCCACTGTAAAGCGCAGTTAATTTTTAAATAAAACCCCCTAGACCGACAGGACATGCATATTTATTGACCTTGTAACTCAAGTACGCCAGGAAGGGAAGGAAGCCTCAAAAGTAAACCAGCCCAGCAAACAGGAAGGAACAAGGGAGGAGGACCACCAGAAGAAACCCCTCGTTTAATACGTTTGCAGCGTTATGTCATCGATCGAATAAGAAACTAGCGCTGAAAAGCAGAACTAGAAAATCCAGGACTCCACTGTCCGCTAGGGCGCCCCGCCGTTTGAAATTTGTGAGAAATATTTTTAAGTGCAGTGGCGCTCCATGATGTCATAGTTGGAACCTGCAGTTTTACATGTTAATTTGTAAAATGTAGATATCTTGTTAACTACATGCCTACCATTTGAGCGATAGTGGCGCCTTAGCACGACGAATAGTAGCACTTGAAACTTTGCCGCTTGGCCAGCAGGTGGCGGTAGCAGTTTAAGCGTGTGTGAGTGCAAGGTGCTTTTATTTAAGGTGAGCCATTGGCACAGGAAGTACAGAGAAAATATTCAACTCGAAGAGTGAAAATAAATGCCCCACCTCACACCAATATACCCTGAATGTTTGCATGTGTGTGTGAACAAATCGTGGGCAGCGCCGTCAACGTCGCAGCCGACGCAGACGCCGTGCGTTATTGATTTTTGGCAGAGGGGAAATAATGCCAAAGGATATGAAATTTATTAAAATAGATTGCAAAATAATTCAATGAAGATGTTGAAAGGCAAGCAGCAAACACTCGTCGCCAGAGGGGGAGGGGAGGGGGCCCATGTTGCCATGTGTGTGTGTGTGTGTGTGTGTTTCGGTTGTTGAACTCCTGGCAGTGGCTGTGTTAGGGGATGGAGGAGTTCCCCGTCGTCTGCCGAGAACAGAACGTATATTTCCTGTGTTCTTTTTTTTTTTGTCGAAGACGTCTGTCAATTTTATGGCTACTGACCCAGAAAAATGGAATATTAAAGAAGCCTTTCCAAACGTGTGAGGGGGGTTGCTGTTCCTGGGTTCGGGGGAGACGGCCTGTAATACGTTGGATTTGCCTGTTGGCTCGAAACGGAAATAATGATGTTCCTGGATGACATCAGCAGTCGACACCGCTATATGTAATTCGATTAGCAGCACTTACAGTGCCCCCCGCCCCACTAAAACCCTCCCTCTCCCATTCCTATTATACGCTCCTTCATACCACGCTTCCCCACCGCTAGTGGCTTGTATTTTAATTGCGTCAAATAAACAGCAGGCCTTCACCACCCCCACCCCCATCCCCACCTCCCCCTCTCACAGCACGAGTCATCATCCATCTTTTTATGGCCACCCTCCCCCCCACCCCAGCTAATGGCGCACTTAGTCCACAAACAAGGTAACGCAAAAATACTACACTGAACAGGATATTTCGGGAAGAGAACAGAACAGAGCCCATAAGGAAACTATTTCGAATGGAAAAGCAACAGAAGGACAGAGCCTGTGGGCTTCTAGTTATTGAATTTATTCCACAAATCTAACCAGAGATACGAGCATGTATTATTAATAGAAACGATTATTAGAGCAGATATTTGGAATTGACTGAGTCACTGGGCATCAGTTCAGTTAGTTAATGAAATGATAAATGGAATTGGGAAAGCTGTTTGGGATGATAGAATAGAATCGCTGAACAAGAGCAGAGAAAGTTGTAAAAGAATAGTAAATGAAGGCTGACCAGAAGTAGTAGATCTTGTCGAAAGGATAGACTTAACCTTAGGTTGAGAATATGGGAAAGAAAAGGTAGACTGAAGACGAGAAAAGGCATCCAACTGGCGGGGAAAAGGATCCTTAACGAGTTAAAGGGAATCCCAAATGGTATACTAAGGAAAATGAAAGAAAATTCTGAAAATAATTCAAAGCAGGGAAGATGCGAATCAGGCAGCTAAATCAAATAGTTTCAGGCTGAATATTCCCTGAGCTAAGCTGGAACACCCTCAAGAGGCTATTAGGACACCTGGAGATCCTGTTTAGGAGCCCTAAATTGTATGGGCTGGATCCATAAAAGGTAGATTAAAAGATCAAAGCAATTCCCCAAGCTATCAATGGAAATGGCTGACACCTATCCTACACTCAAAGTGCTCCTTGTAAAATGTTGCACAAATAAAATCGAAGGCAGGAGAGCTGAAGCTAAAGCTCCTTCGGCTGCCCGCCCAAGCAATCATCATAATTTATTCAGCATTCGACATCACCAATCGCATTCCCTGGATGCGCTTTCCTTCGTCTCTACCTGTGCCCTGCTGCTTTACGACTCTCTTTTACACAGCTTGTCTGCCGGCAAAATACTTTCTAATCCGCACATCCGCCTCAATGACAATCTGCAATCTGGTTACCCATCCAATCCCCCAGGCCACAGAACAAATTGCAATACAATTTGCAGTGTCCACTAAGCCGGATCCGCCTGCCATCCTCAGTCCCTTCCACCCACAAACAACGGAAAACACTCGAAAAATGCCAGCAACAAATTGCATGGATTTGCGCTTCAAAAATGCCTCTCTCTCTCTCTCTCTGTCCCTTGGTGGCATGCAACGTGCCTCTCTGTGCGGTGTCTCCTCCTCACCTGTCGCTTGCCCTTTGCCCTCTTGCACTGCGTTCAGCTGCATCAAATTTATGTAGATACAAAACTGCAATTCAACGAGCGAGAGAATGGCCAGGAGTGGGAGAGCAGCGAGCAGCGAGCAGTGCACAGTACACAGAGAACAGAGAGCTTGCAGCGGAAAAAGTTCATCTTGTTTTCTCTGACATTTTCATTGAGGAAAATGCTACACAAAAATGAAAATGAGCTGGCGCAACCCTTGCATGGCCAGGACTGAGAGCTCGAGAGCTTCGAACTCGCAGCCGGAGCCGTAGCGGGAGCGGCAGCCTGAGCCTGGCTAAAAGCATATGGAGGTAACTTTATTGTTTTTACATTTGATTTTTTATGGGTCCAAGGGGTGGGTGCTGGGGTGGGTGCTGCACTGGCTGGGGTGGCAGGGCAAAGTGCACAGGCACAAGCACACGGCACACTGCACGACGACGGTGACGGCGACATAGGACACAGAAACGCCGCATAAATTCAGCTCCCAGAGAGAGAAAGCGAGAGAGAGCAGAGCAGAGCGACTGTCCGCGTCGCTTGGAAAAGTCTATATATCATATATATTTCTATATAATACGAAGGTGGCAGAAGGGGTGCCTGCCGAGGGGGTGGCTTTTTGAGCACTGGAAATACGAAATACGAAACGCAACGACTGCTGACTGGAAACTACCCTCGACGAAGCTGCGACTCGACTCCGATACACAGCGCAAAAAATCTGCTCTACAAAATTTCCACAAGCGGGACACGCAGCGAGTGCAACAGAGAGCGATGGCTAATGGTATAGCCGCCGGCGAGAGTGAGATGGGGCGAGTGAGAAAAACCATCCCCTAAGAATTGGGGGAGATAATATATTTCTGCAATTGGGAATGCGCGCGCAACCCTTGAAAGATGATGACGAAAGCGACGACGAGCGACGACGAGCGACCGAGGGACCTACCGACCGAACGACCGACCGTTAGACCGAGACGTTGGTGACCGCTTCCCGGGGTTGCCTTTCAGTCAACTTTGGGTTTTCGTACGTGCAATTTCTCCCGGCACCATGACGGATCACGGAACGAAAATCAACTCAAGAAATCTAACATTTTGGATAGCCCTCTTCAATATATATACGAATGCGAATGCGAATACGAATATACCCCCAAAGGAACCCAAAGCCCGCTCACACACAAACCAAAAAAAACCAACAAACAAACAAAAAGTGTCCTTTAGCAAGTGAAAAAAAGTGTCAAATATCTATGAAAATTATGCGTAAAATGCATACAGCAGATATACATATATACATATATACGTTATATACATACATATATCCGGCGGCATAGATCGGCGGAGCAGAGAGGGCGCTTGCCATTGATATTGTCCTGTCACAGCAGTATTGTAACTTAATTATAGCTTACTGCTGAGTCGGGGCATTAACATTGTTGAGCGCCATTGGCAACGATTGGCAGCGGAAGGAAAAGCTACGGAAAAGTGCTACGAAAAACCCCACAAAAACAAAAAAAACACACATGAAAGCGACTTTCTTTCCATTCCGGCTTGATGAAATCCTTCAATCCACACACGAACACACAGACAGAGTTGTATGTATCTGTGTGTGTGTGTATATGAGCAACCGGAAAAATCAATTTTCCATTTTTAATTCAAAGCTCAAACAGAGAGAGAAAGAGAGAGAGAGAGACAGAGAGGATGCTGTATCATCTGCAGTGCGAGCGAAAGAGCAGTCTGATAAGAGACAGAGAGAGTGAGAGAGATGGCAAGCTAGTGAGTGAAAGAGAGGGAGAGAGCAAAGAGAGGCAGAATGTGCTCACAAAGAGAGCAAAGAGAGAGATAGAGACATAGAGAGAGACAAAAGCTGGATGAAACATTTCGAAATGAAACATGAAACTTTCGACGGGAAAATTCAAAGGGAAAACCGTTGATTCATACATGAAAATCTCCGAAAAATATGAAGGAAATATTGAACCAGCGATTAAGCTAAAGCCAGACTTGTAGCAAAAAGTATCCAATCCATTGTGGGTAGGGAAGGGAAGGCTGCATTTTGTGTTGGGAAAACAAAAAGGGCATGCCGCTCGACCGACCACTCCCTGATTTTAGCCTGCCTTCGTGGGTGTACCAGAGCACGACGAGAGAGAGAGTATCTACAAGGGTAAGAGTAAGGGCAGTGTAGAGTAGGGGTAGGGGGTGGGGGGAAGCTGAGCGAAGGGTGGCGCATTATATGCTTGCCAAAAAAAAATATTGTTGCCAGCCTGAAATGCCGGATAAATCCTGGTAGATGCAGCCCCAGTCGGAAACATCATCTCAACATCATCATCAACCCCTAAATATAATTCTGGCGCATTAAAAGGGCGTGAGGACAGAGAGGAGAGCACCAAAATGGGAATACAACAAAAAAAAAAAGATTGGAAAAGATGACAAAGATTAAGGGCAACAACAAAAGCAACAAAAAAAGACAGAAAGATGAATTGGTGTAGATTGAGAGCAGCTGAAAAATATGATTTAGTTGCAGCCAGCCAGCCAGCCAGCCAGCCAGCCATTCAGTTTCAGGCAACAGGGAGCAGGAAGCAGGCAGCAGGGAGCAGGGAATCCCCCTTCGTGGCTAAGTAAGGGTTGCTGCTCTTCGCCAACAGTTTATATGCATTTTGATGAGGATAATGGCTTAGCCTACAAAGGGAGACGTGTACGCGGTGGGGGGTCCAAGCAGAGATGTCAGAGAGGGTGTGTGCTAGAGTAGAGAGGGAGGAGGGAGGGAAGGGAGAGTGAGGAATATGGAGATTGGTTATACCGGCCTCTAATGTTGCCTGCCCTTGCCCAGCCCAGCCTAGCCCAGCCTGCACATGCTGTTGCCGCCTGTCTGTCAGCATTTTGGGCGTTGGTGTGCGGCGGCTGGGCTTGTCTCTGCCATCTATGTATGTGTCTGTACATCTGTATCTGTCTCTGTACCTGTATCTGTGTGCGTTGTTAAATACTTCGAAATTGGCTAAGCGTTTGTTGTGCTTATCAAATTGACAACGCTTTGCTGTGCTTGAGGTAGCCCCCAAATGATTCAACATTCCACATACACCTGAAGAGCGAGTAGAGGAGAGCACCATTTACGGAACATGTGCGTATGCGTATGCGTGTGTGTGTGTGTGTGTGTGTGTGTATATAGTTGGATGGCTTTGATGATGTACTAAGGGATGATGCAATTTAATATGCACCAGAGGCAGGCAGAGGAAAAGCACAGAGGAGCCAGTGAAGTACTCGTTGCCGTGGAACCCCAAAATGTTGCAGATGAAAGTAACCAAAGAGCTGCAAGTACTCATCAAGCGGGACGAGGGATTTCCCTTTGTGGAAGGATCAAATGAATGGATGTTATCTGAGGGCCATCGGCGTAAAATGGAATAATCAATTAATTATACCGAAAATTATGATAAATATAAATATTCCCAAATTGTTCATCTTAGAGAAATTCTATGCAATAAATCCTAACATATGTACATATATCATATTATATATCCTATTATATATTTTTACCATTTACTCAACGATGAATCTGTGAGAATCTATTAAAATAGAACTAATGTAACATAGGCAAACAAGGAGTTTTAATTAAGAAAAAATATGTTTTAAGCACACAAGATTAAGCATAATGTACTACACGAGTATTGTATGCTATAAGAAAGTTAAATCAAATAATATCAAAGTACCATAAGGTACTGAAAACTGTAGAAAATGAATGAAAATTCGTTCGCATTGTTATTTAATGGAAACACCGCCTATTGTAAATATTAACTGATTCAATGCCACATAATTATATCCCTAAACTGAGTCTCTTTTGGCTAGAAACTGGAACTTCGGAACTCTGTTTAAATCTGAATAAATCTTCATGTCTTCATGCTATATTCTCGCAATAAAACCAATTGATATTTAACCATTTTAAGCAACAACAAAATGTCAACAAACTGAATGCTTTTAAGTACCCATATCAAACATACATACATACATATGTGTCTGTTTATAGACAATGACCTTTATTTTGATGGGCCTTGAATTAAACTTTTTTAATGATTAACTGCCTGCAAAAAGTACCTGCATACAAAAAAAAAATATAACCAGCGAAAGATGATGATAAAAAGTGCGGAAATTACGTTGACCTAAAAATTAAATTGTCGAGCAAGTTTGCCGGCACGGAAAGAGAGCGAAAGAGCGCTCTGGGGCGAGGGGTGGAGAGGGAGAGAGGGTGAGGGGAGAGAACTAAACGCACTTGCACTTATGCACTTCAAATATGATGAAAAGGTAAACGCGGAACATAGTCACATTCGCATTCGCATTCACATGAATACTCACACACAAACACTCAGAGACATTCACACTCATTCACACACAGTCACGACACGACAACAAAATGCAGAGACATGATGCAAAAGGAAGAGGAGGAGGATGGGAATGAATGAGAGAAGGATACGCTTCCTGAACAGGTTAAGGGAGGGGGTGGGGCTGGTGCATGTAAATGCATGGAAAAACTCAAGGGTTAAGGTAAGTGGTTGTCCCCCTGCTCCAGTTACCCCCCATTCCAGCTCCAAGCCGCCCCCTGCAATCCCTCAAGCAATCCACCCAGCCATATGCAAATTGTCGGTGCTTTTGTAAGCTTATTAAGTGCTTGAAAGTGCATTAAAAAAAAAACATATGGCACACCACAGGACAGGACAGCAACAGCAACAGAACAGAACAGAACATAACAGGGAGAGGCAAGTAACGATGAAGCAGGATGGGCTAGGGAGAGGCAAGGACCTGCAGCAGTCAGGTAAATGCTTTCAAGTCAACCCACTCGGAAATGAGAACTCAGGCGAGTGCTGCTGCCTTCCCTTCTACACCCCTACAAATGACAGCATTGAAATGAGCAACATGTCAGGACCATGTACACATGCTTCGCCTGCAGGTGCTACAGCTGCGAATGGACATGATGTTGGGTGCTGGGCAAAAAGTTGTGCCCGCTTTTTGGTGTAATTTTGTTAATTAAAAGGTGTGACAAAAGCTGGGCAGGGCAACGTCAACGGCAACGGCAACGCACTGTAAATCAGACTCGAATTACTGAAATGCAAACCAACACATCCTAGACATCCTAGCATCCTTCAACAAGTATTTGGCAAGGACATTTAGCACAGGAGTCACACAGACCCCAAGCATTGCGCATTTGCATACAAAATTGTCAGTCAGTCAGGGGATTGTGCAGGGGTGCAGGGGAGGTACAGAAAATGAAGATGCCACTTGAGAGGTTGTCAGACCAACCAGACAACCATCGCAGACAAGTGGCCGCCGCCGTACTTCAGGAGACTGAAGGACTCCTCTGCCCGGCCGGAAATGCTTGCTCTCTCTCGCTTTCTGTCTCAGGGAGATTAAAAAGCAGGATGCTGCCCAAATTGAGAGGCAGCCTGACATAAAAGTTGCTTAAAAACTTCTGGCTTTATGATTTTTGTTTAAACAATTAATGAGGAATAAAAATTGAAATATCTGCTGGAATTCTAATAGCTTGAAATTCTTTTTATTCCCCCCGAAAAAATATTTCAAACATTTCGTTGCAACGGATGCTGTGGAGATGCCATTAAAAGCTACTTGTGAAAGCACACAAAAGCTAGGAAGCAGAGCTTTGGCGCTCACTGGAAGCTTCATAAAGTTTGAAACATCTCCTTTGGTCCAGAACATAACTGTTTTGGAAAGCTTCCGCGAAGCTTTTGGTAGGAAACAACCATGACCAGCCATAAAACAACAAAAATTATAGAAAACACGAGAGCTAAAAGCTCTCGCTTAGACTTCATCCAGGATAAATGATACAGGATAGGATAGAATCCTTAACAGAATCTCACACAAAGCAGTTAAAGCTTTTCTGTACACTTCGATGCTGTTAAGTTTGAAGGAGAAATAAACATTTTGGCACAGAAATTATTTTGGGAAATAAATAAAAAAATATTGCCACAAAAAGAAAAGTTTGGCTCAGAAAAGTTTTTACATTTTAGACAACATTTTTGAACGACTTTCAAGCAACATTTCGGCACGTCAAGCAGCAGACTTTGCTATTGAAATAAATCTTCAATTAAGATGTCAACAATTTTTTGGGTCGGTTGGTTGAGCTCTTAACTGATGTAACAAATTCGTTTAGGCTGCGTCATTGTTTACATATAACAACAGCGACAAGGAGCAAGCAGCCGCCACAAAAGGGTCCTCCCCCAAGTATGTGGCTGAGTCAGCAGCAAGCAGCAAGCAGCAGCATCATTCTCATACTCATCTTCGTGCAACGCATCCTGCTTATGTTCGCAGGATGCAATGCCTTGAAGTGGCACTTGAGAAAATGCTTCTTTCGGGATCTTGAAGGGGGTACGAGACTACCCGCGTACGAGGCTGGAGACACACTTGTCTGCTAAATGCTGACACCAAAGACTGGCTCAAGTATTTTGCGGGCAAATAGTCCCGAGTCCAGAGTACTCCCCCCTCTGTACATGCTGAATATTGTACGTGTATATCCTCGTAATAAAAGTCACTCGAGTGACATTTGTACTGAGCCTGCGGCCATGGAGGCAAAAGGCAAACAAAGCTTAGGCCATAAGCAAGGAGTGGGGCCTCCGCTCCTGCTCTGGAGTTCATTTTACAGTCGCTGTTTTTTAATCGATTATTGCCGCGTTATTGTTTCTGTTTTTGTTTTTTTTTGCGCCCTTACAACTCCTCTTCAGTGCCAGGGCAAATCCTGTCTGAGTGTTGGGTTGCATTTGCAACAAAACAATGGGGCAGCCGGCAGCCAGCAGCCAGCAACACAAAATGCAAATGCAGAAATCTGAGATTGTACATTGAACTTGTGCTGTATCATCATCATCTCTGTGCTGTACCGCATACCCCCATCCCCCCCAAGCAGCAGTAAGGGGCTGTGGATTTTACAGCATAAATTGAAATGTCCTCGCCACATCATATTCAATATAAAAAAAAACATCCAGATAAGCAGGGAGAAGTCTGCCAAGGGTTACCTTCTGGTTTCGAATGGGGGGGCTTCGTGGGGTTATTTTTCATTCTACACACTTTTCATTCGCCGTTGTTTTCGTCACGTTCTGCGATCAGCGATAGCTGCGTCCTTCACTTATTTTAGCTCAAGAAATGCACGCGCCGGATGTCGTTAAAATGGCGACTGCCGCCGCTTCCGGTTGTCGGGTGTCGGCTGTCAGGATTCGTATGCGTAGTCGCGAAATATGTGAACTTACCTGCAAAGTAAACAAAAAAGGGAAATGTGCAAAATCACGATTAGTATGTGGTAACCAATAGGCATGGGGCTTATCAAAAATTCCTTAAGTGTAAATTGCCAATGTGTAATACGTTTTTGTTTGTTATAATAATAAAAATATATGCAAGATTGATTTAAAATTAACAAACCACCGATTTAATAGCCTACTTAGCAGTTATCAGGAGAATTCAGGCAACAGTAGGGTAATGCTTTCAAATGCTCTGGCGTATGTTCAGAATGTGCCTGAGCTATCACCTGAGCCCTAAGAAATTTCATCTACTATAGCTAGACTCCTGCAGATACTGTGAAATGTAGTAGGTTTGATCGTAACACATTATATTTGAATTCCGCTTTGGGTGCGCAATATTGCTCTTGATTTGGGATGACTGCAAATTCTGCATCAATTAGGAGCGTTGCAAGGTGCAATTAAATTCAGCCTCCGCTCACCCCATAATGGTACTTCCATCTTTGATACGTAACCTGTGCTGCGTAGGGCAAACCTCAGATGTTTGGTCACATTTATGCGGCACGAGCTGTGGCTTGCCCCTCTTCAGGTTTAGCCTCGCAGCAGCAGGGAAGATGTGCGTGGCACAGGAAATACATTTGTAATGTAATGGCAAGCAGCCACTTGCAGTGTTAAAGATTGTCTGTGGGTTCTACATAGTGTTAGAAATATGAATAACGTGAGTATCCATCCTATCCACAGTAGAATTTGCTTTGTAGATTTTTTAGTGTTTGTAGAAAATGTTTTGAAAGTTTTAAAGAAGTTTTTCATATAAGGAAAAGAAGTGTCTACAGAAAATGATTAGCTTTTCCCTGACGTTTCCCTTGCAAGAACTTTAGTTAATGTTAACAATGTCTACTCAACCTGTACCTACAGTTATCCCTATTATTTCTATTAAAAGTCTTACTATATAGATGGACCTATCCCAAAAAGAAGGAACTTGGGAAGTGCTAAATGGCGAGCTTACACACAAAAAGTTGGTCACTGGCACAGATACCCCAAAAAAAACCTCAAAACTCATCTCTCTCTCTCGCTGTTCCCCTCTGTTTCCCCTCTCAGTCTCAAACTGTTTTCTGGCAGAACATTTATGGACTCAACCGATTAGCAGCTAATGGGTGTGGGAGAGAGAGAGAGAGCAGTCAGTTACAGTCATTCATCCGCCAACAATTACCGCTTGTTAAGAAGAAATCAATGAAGAGGCCCCCAGAGCGCAGACTGCTGGAGCAGAGAGTGTGAAGCTCTGCATATTAATCAGTTGTAGAGAAAGAGAAACAGAGAGATAGAGAGAGAAATGCAGTACACAAAAATATAAATGTGAAAATGTGTCCCAAATACGACGAGTAATGAGGGGGCCAACCAGATGCCAGCCAGTTATCAGTCAGTTGCTGCCCGTTGAGGTTGGTTTCTGTGTTGGATTCCGGATTTAACCTAAGCACAACCCACCACCCGCCACAGCCGTAACGATGAGGATGCTGCTGATTTGTCAGGCAGGTGACTACATCTACAGCAACATACCATCATCAGCATCATCATCATCATCATCCATAGTGAATTCAGCCTCATTTGTGGATGATCTCTGTAGTCGTAGATTCTTGTGTCTAATGCACTTTCGTTTGCAGTTTGTTTGTGGCTGGCTGCAGCAAAACTACTCGTAAAAGAGTCTGATTACAAAGCCCATGGACTGGAGAAGGACAATGCAGACAACAATCAATTGCAGCAGATGGATCTGCTGCAGCTGGAGCAGGAGCAGCAGCAGGAGCAAGAGCTGATGCAGGGGCAGCTGTCAAGACCCGCAGTGCAAGTAAAAGTGACAAATGAAGTGGAAAGTGCCATGAGAATGATGATGATGATGACTACATTGGGGCTGATGGGCAGGCAGCCGGTGCAGCAGCAGCCGGAGCAGCAGCATCAGACAAACTACTTTGACACACAAATGGCAAACGGACTGCCATTGCTGCTGTCATTGTCTAACCTAATGAGACCCCGTCCCAGTTCTAGTTTCAGTTTTAGCTCTGACAGCAGCACGAGCTTGCTGCCAATATTGGATGGTCATAACTCGGCCATCAGTCCGGGCACAGATGAACAATTACTTCGATTGCAATCGGACTACAAGCTGCTGTACAATGCCGAACGACACACGTACTTCCAGCTGCATACCATAACCGGCAATCAAATGGATGCAACGGCAATGCCCAATCGAAGGCTCTTTCAGCAGGCAGTGGGCAGCACTTTGAGTGCCGCCTTCGGCCTGAATGTGTTGCCAGTGGATGGACATGGACGGGCCGTGACCACGGAGACGGTGCATCTCTATGATGCCGCCTCCCTGCGCCAGTCGCGCTTCAATCCCTTCAATCCGACACGGTGTGTGGGTGTGGCACTTCAGATGGATTTGCCCCCAGTGTAATCTCTTTTTCTTTCTCTGCTCTGCTTTAGCATCCTCATCCATGGCTGGCTGGGGAATGCAAATGCCAATATCTACAGCGCCCTGCTGCCGGCATACCTGTCGCTGGGCCAGGGCCGCTACAACATCTTCACCGTGGACTGGGGCCGCGGCGCCATAGCGGACTATATTACGGCCAGCTATCGGGTGAAGCCCGTGGGTCAGGTGCTGGCCAAATTCGTGGACTTTCTGCATCGGGAGGCCGGTCTGAGGTTTGAGGATCTGCAGCTGGTGGGCTTCAGCATGGGCGCCCATGTGGCCGGACTGGCCGGCAAGCACCTGCAGACGGGTCGCCTGCGGATGATCCGTGCCTTGGATCCGGCCCTGCCCTTCTTTCGCTATGCCCAGGACAAGGAGCGTCTGGCGAAAGCGGATGCCGATTATGTGGAGGTGCTGCACACCAGTGTCGGCAGCTACGGCTTCGATCGCCCGCTGGGCCATGCCGATTTCTACGCCAATTGGGGCAGTCAGCAGCCGGGCTGCTTCTGGCGCGAGTGCAGCCACTGGCGGGCATTCATCCTCTTTGCCGAGAGTCTGCGGCCCGGCGAGGCATTTCCCGCACGCGGCTGTGCGGTCAGCGAATGGCAGCAGTTGACCCGCTTCCATCGCTGCCCCAGGCAGACGACCGACAAATGCCACAGCATGGGCGGCGATTTGGCCAATGCCTCAATGGAGCTGCTGCTGGCCCGACGACAGGGTGTCTATTATTTCGAGACAAATGACAGGCCACCCTATGGAAGGAATGTCAGCCGCCAGAAGCGGCAGAAGGCACAAATAAATAGAAGAACAGTCGAGTAGAATAGTAGCGGGGGGAAATGTAATGAGCAAAATGCCAGTGCAGTTCGCGTTTTTATTTCTAATTAGTAAGTGCACACACACACATGTGTGCCTGTGTGTTTGTGCCATAAGTACACGAGTATGTGTGTATGAGGAGCTGTGCTGTTCCATTTCTAAAAGCCTGGCTGGCTGGCAAAATTAAAAAATGCTGCCATGTGTAAAATGCTTTTCATGTGCCAGTCACAGGCAACAGGCAAAACAGGATACACACAAAAAAATATGCAGCAAAAACTAGGAAACGAAATGAACACACAAAAACTGCGGGGGGAATAGAAAATAAAGAGGGGGAGGAAGGATAGCAGCGATGTTTGATGCCCGAAAATGTATGCTTAAAATTAATCACTTTTAATGTGAAACTAATGGAAATTGTATGAAGCAACCTTTGCATTTAGTTTTAAATATCTACAGCCATAAACAACAAAAAATGTGTACCAATCGATTTGAGAGTAGAAATTGGTAAACAATCAGAACAAAAATTCATTTGAAATTTTTTGTTTTTTTTTTGTAACTATTACAATAAAACATTGAATTAAACTAGGAAATGCTGAAATAAATCCCTCAATTATTGGCTGGGAATATTGGTTATACTTTAGATTTCAAAGATTAAACCCCCAAAATTCCGTTAATTTTGGAATTAATGTCATACGAGTATTCCGTGTAATCTCATCTGCTGGGAGACATTAAACTTTGTTGTTGCATTGTTCTTTGCGCAGCACATAAATTAAAAAACTTGGCCAAGCTTGAAGCTTGGGCTTTAATTGGCCAGCACGCGCTTGAGGGCCGAATCCACCCTCGTAAAAAAAACCTAAAACAAACCATGGCATACTTTCGGGCCATTGGATGGGTCCAGACAGCGAGATGTGGAGGCCAAAGAGCACAGAGACCATGCCAAAATGTCGCACGGCTGCCGCTAATGTGATTTTTACGCATCATTTGAGTGAACAACAACAACAACAAAAATTGGCCCAAAGGCAATATCAACACAAGCCCGAAAAACCGGCAAAAAACTTGGCCTTCGCGTTTGCCGTAGAAAATTACGTGAGCAAATATTGGCAAAGGAAACACAAAAATATTCCCCCATTACACTTGATTTGCTCAAGCAATAGCCAAAAAAATATATCTAGGATATTTAAGTTTATTTCAAAAATTGTTGAAAATAAATATTTAAAGAGTTGATGAAACAAAATTGTATATAAATTATAGATCACAAAGCGGCAACTTTAAAAAGTGCAAGTATGTACATTAAAAACAAAATGATATCCAGTTTTGCACACAATAATTTTCTACGTCGGTTCTTTGTCGTATTTTGAATGAATTTCTCCATAAAATAGTTTTCTATATATTTTCACTGACATTTCCTTACCACAACATGGTCTCTAGGTAATTCATTTCACAAGCAGATATTTTTTTTCGCTCTTTTTAGTATGCACAAATTGATTAAGTAAACGAAGTAAGATCTTATTATGATGATTCCACTTCCTTTCGGTTGAATCAGCAAATTAGGGCTGGGGGTGGGGACTCGCACACACACAGTTGCAGCACAAAAATTGTCTAAGTAAATTAAGAAGATTTCCTTGAGTTTTTCCCTCACTTGCAGCGGCAATAATTCAATTATAGTGAATTAAATTGAATTAGCACAAAAATCCGAGCAAGAAACTCGCACATTTAAAAGGAATTATTTCTTTTTTTTTGCTTGGTTAAAACTTGTCGGATAATTTCCTTTTTGGCCCGGTGTAGACACAATGAAACGAGTAAAATGAATCGAGTAAGTAACGGCCCCCCGTCGACTGTTGCCGGTTGTGCACTGCAAAGCAAACTGAAATTGTTCTCAGCTAAATGGAAAGACAGCTACATAAAAAGAAATGGCTAATTTGTGTCGCGTCTTCCAGTGAATGGTTGAAAGAGATGGTAGTAGGGTACGCCAAGGGACTGGGATTGAGACTGCGGACTGGGTACTGGGTACTGGAGGGAGTGGGTGCTTGGGTCTCAGGGAAGCCTATGAAATGTGGCCCGCACTTGAGCCAAAGAGTTTGACGCACAAAATGCACAAAACTGAACTGCAAAACCGAACCAAGAGCCGAACCAAAGGCTGATGGCTGAAAAGAGAACAGAACACGGCCTGGCTCGGGTTGGGGTTAGGGTTGGGAGGGTTGGGTGTTGGCGGTTGGCGCTGAGCCGTCAGACAATGCATTCCTAATTCCTGGCAGAATGAGGGGTATATGAGGGCGGTTCTACCTACCAGACCAGTCTCTCTTTTTTTGTGGGGGGGCGGCTGCCATGTGGCAGTAACCCAAGTCCCATCCAACCTGTCATAAAGTATCGCGCCTCCTGCTTCCGTTTAGGTTACCTGTGTCTGTGTGTCCCCTTCGCACAAAGCTTCGTGTTCAAACCCGCAATGGCTTCCGGATAGGACACCACCCAGGAACAGGCACAGAGCCCTCCAGCAGATAAGTTTGCCTTTTGTTTGACTTTGGCAGGAGCAGGGGCAGCGAGCAGGAGCATTTTACTTTGGCTTAGGCTGCTCTTGTTGCAGAAATAAGTAGAAGGATTAGCCAAGCTGTTCTTCTGCTCATCGCTGAGAGCGGCTTTAGCCTTGAGGAAGCAACCAAAAACCCACCCAAGGAGCAACTGTCAATGCCAGAGGAAAGCTGTAGGCAAAACTTCCATGCGTTGTTGGACAGTGTTGGATGAGTTTGTAGCAGAACAAAAACCCGCATGCGATGGCTTCCATGTGGGTGTGAATAGCACAGGGCTGACAACATGCCCAGCAGGTGGTCCGAGGGTCCTGGCTGGCACCAGGGGCTCGGTTCGGTTCGGTTCGGCTTCTGTGGTGCAGTGGTGCTGTGGGATTACATCGGTTTGGTGACCAACAGAATGTTTACTTGATTGAAAGGATAGCTTGAACGAATCAGTTAATTGAATGGTGCTGAATGTTCAGCGAAATTCTCGGGAACTGTTAAATTTAAACAGACACACAAACTGCTGATTAAAGGAAATATTCACAAGGATTGCGGAGAATACTTCCATCGAAGAAATTCATTGGAAGAAGCAATAGTTTTAGCGAGCAAATAGATGAATGCTGCAGAAGGAAGGCAGACGACGAGGAAGCAACCACCACAGGAAATTGAGGAGGAGTAGAGCTTCTTTGAAGGATTCATTGGAAATGATTCAATAAAGTAGGGCACAGGGCATATTTACATGCAAATATATGAAGAGTATTCAAGTCAATATGCATTGGTTGCACCTACGCTGCAGATATTGGCAAGAGCTCCCATCGAAGATGAACAGGATGGATTCCAAGAAGAAATAATATTAGTTAACATGAGCAGAGGGTTCAATAATGAAAGTAAGAGGATTCTCCGAAGGAAGTCAAAGGGTAAGCTAAGGTATAAAGACTTCCATTTGGTTCCAATTATGCGGAAGAAATTTCAATGCATTCCCGAGTGGAAATTCAATCAATAACCTTTTATGAAAAGGATTCAATGGCAGGATTAATTAAATGATTTTCTTTTAACTAGAGACGAAAAATTGTTGGGCACGCAACAACATTAACAGAGCATTGAATGAAGAACTGAATGGATTTGATGAAGACTCTTCAGACATGAAGGACCTCCACCTTGGATAAATTGAGATTCGGAAGAGATAGGGATATCATTCATATCTCCAGGATTAAGCTCCAAATATAAGCTAATTATTAAAACTTTATTCCATTTATAATTCTCAATCAATTCACAGAACTTTTAGCAGACACACCAACACGGTGCAAAAACTTTGTCCCACACACAGCACAGTCATAAATTCAGGATGGAATGGGGCTTTTCCTCCCCATCTGACACGAAAGTTGAGGTAACTATCAAAATCCAACTAGCAGGTAACAATTACATCATTTTACAGACAATTCCAAATTGAACAAGGTCTTTTCGGGGCGCTGCTACCATGGGATGATGGTTGGTGGTGGATGTGCCTTGTGCTGTGGGCGCTGCACTTATACCCAAAACTCACTCAAACAATTAGCTGAAAAGGTGGATGAGAATGAGGGGCCACAATTTGGTTGGTTGAGAGTATGAGTCAGAGTCAGAGAACGAGACCGAGACCGAGCCCGACCCCTGCCGTTGTCGTCGTCGTCATCGTCAACTGAAGGAAGCCTTACTATGAAAAAGTTTCAGTTCTTTTTTTTTTTTTGCGCAAACAAATTGGATTATTCGATTACGTGTTTGTACAAGCCAAGAGGTGGGTGGAAAGGGGATGGAGAGGGGCGAACAGGTGGTGAGGGGTAAACAGAGGTTGGCTTGTAAAGCGGCCAAGGGAACATGTTTTTAAGGGCACCACAGGGGCTTGGTTCCATTTCCATTTCCACCAGCATTTTCCATTTTTCAGAGGGTTTGCGCAGGCAGAGTTCCGATCCGTTCAGTATTTGATTTTGATTTATTTGGCATTTGTTTGCCAATTGGCAAATGTTTGCAAATCTATGGAGACCAATGCGAATGTAATCTATAATAGATAGTATCTGGAGAAAAAAGTATCTGTTGGTGGCAAAAATCGAATAGGGTTTCGCTCTCTTTACTTTCTTTCAAAGGTATTGAATGTGGCCAATGAATGCATTGAATGGGGGGTATTGTAAATGAAGATTATACTTAGATATGCTTTCAAATAGCAGACAAAAATTAAGGGAACTTAAGGAATTTCTATGGAATTTGGAGAATATTTTAACTCTTATTAATCTGAATTTTAACAATTGACAGCAGCACTTAAAAGTATTTTAAAAAAATAATTCTATCTACTATATTTCCATTCAATTGAAAGAATCACTTGGAAATGTCCCCTCATTCATGCCTACCCTATGTTCGTGTGAAATCTTTTTTTTTTGGGTAGCCAACAGTCCAACAGCTGCCGACACTCAACTAACCGACACTCAAATTGAAAGTCAATATACAGCTGGCAGCAACTGCAATTTATTGTTACAAAAAACTGGCTTAATTGCTGGCAAATGGAAAAATCGTTTGGTAGCGGGCAAAGCCGCATGTTCTGGTATTTTTTTTCTATGCTGCTGAAAGGGCATTGAGACAAGTGGCAGCGATGTGTAAAGGTAGGGAAATTGCTTGTTTTCCTATAGAATTTTATACATGGTGGACAGTTGTTTGATATTTGCGCTCAATAATTTCATTTTATAAGTTTGATATTTATTTTATTTGTAATTTCGGCTAGCCCGCAGCTATTCGTAGCTCCTGTCAAATGGTGCGTATGAGTGATTTTTAGATTTACATTTCAATAATCCATCCACACAAGGAAATAACCTTGTGATGGCCACAATTTGGGTTAGAGGTACCAGAGGGTCCCAAGGCAGCCCGCAGCTGTTTTGTAGGCAACAAAATCAACAGAAAAGGCGTTGAAGTAAAGTGTGAACCATACAAAAGTAGTACCCATAAAGGCGTTAAGGGCAACAACATCTGCAATTTATGCAGAATCGATGAACAGAGTCAGAGTCGAGAGCACACACACACACACACAAACACACAGCAAAATGCTGACTGGCTAACAATTAACCCTTTACGTGCCAATTGCCTGCTAAATAAATTAGCCCATGAAGGTGGCTCCGTGTGACTGAATTTTGATTGAAAAACCCCCATCGTAAGTGTGGAGTCAGCAAAAATCTTAGCCCTGCCACCACGTCCCATTGCTCTGACGCCTTTAAGCAGGCCCTAAAAAAGTTTTCTTCCTCCGGTCTACTTCAAAAGGCATCACCCATCGAACACCGAAACAGAAAAGTAACCTTAAGGCGAAACGCCTCAAAACTTGAGGGCGGGCAGGCTATTTTCCAGTAATTTAATTAAGACTTTTGTTTGCTCTTTCCGTCAGCTTTGTTCGCTCACCACCCAAATTGTTTTTCGCCCGAATAAGGTTAAGAAAATAAATTAAGCATACGCCATGTGTGTGTGCGTGTGTGCTTGTGTTTGTGTGGCCTGTTGCCGTGTGGTTTTTGATGGTCAAAGGATGGGGAAAATTTCAAGTACACGCAAAAGATGAAGAGCCAATCAGTGGATTTTTTTTAAAGGTTTTTAAGAACTGAATGAGGGCAGTAAAAAAGAGTCCATAAACTGCTAAAAACTCTGAGTCTCAAGAGCCCAAACGATGCTTCTTCTAAGTCAGAGAACTTCCCTTAGTTTCACTGAATCTGCATAGAATATGTATACCAGGATTTCATACCCTTCATAACTTATTTTTCCTAGTTGTTTGCTCTGCCTTTGCCCTTCAATTATTGCCTTTTCCAATGACACTCTAACCCAGAAAAGAATTCTAATAATATAACACAAAACCTACAAGTAAGTAGTTCATTAGTGTAGCCACAACATATCCTCACTTAACTAAGAATGTAGTTTGCAAGTTAAAGAAGAATCCGCTCAGCTCCCTTTCCCTCACGAGCACTGGAACTGTCACCCATAAAAGAGCATCCATCAACTCACAAAAAAAAAAGGGGTCGGGTGGAGTGGGTAACAGCATGCCACAAAAATCCAAAAGTTACTTTACTTACCATTAAGCTTGACAGCCATCCCTGGATACCCCAAAATGTGCTACCCACACGAAATGTCAGATTTTACTTTTTATTTTTTTCATGCGAGTTGTATTATGCAAAGATGCTCCCACTGGGCAGGAGTGTACCACCCCACTATGCCATAGCACTGTGTGACACAATACAAATTGAACGGGGGATGGGGGTCCTACATTATAATTCATTGAGCGAGAGCAATACGATTTTTGGCATTTCTTAACTGTTCCCCCGAACGAGTGCAGCACAACTTTTAACAATGACATTCAGCAAAACCCGTATGAAAAAATCCATCCTGCACTCCACTTCACTCCACACCACTCCCTTTCCCTGCTGGGTAAATATTGCAAAAAATTGCATATGCCAGTCAGCCCCCTCCCCCCCTGGGTGGGTCAGAGGTCGCTACAGCAGCAGAGGCATCCCGTATGTACGGACGGACACAGACATGGACATGGACTCGTGATTCTGGGGTTCTGGTGTTCTGTACAGCTTTTCGGACCAACTTTTGCTTCACCGCAATTTTTGTCGTTTGTTGGCACTGCTTTTGCGCTCTCTTTCTGCCCTTTACTTCCTCTCTTTTTTTCCCTTATTTTTTTTTGTATTTACTTAAATTGTAAAACATGAGTTTGTATTTCACTTTTGTCATACGCATACGTTAACACGAACCAAACGTTTGGGGGGGTAGAGGGAAAAAAATTAAGCAATTTATAACGAATATTTAATTTTTTTAACGCTGCACAAAAATAATCAAATAAACGCTTTCAATTTACACAAATTGTCGAAATTGTTTTCCAACTGGAAATGCTCGCGAAATGTGCTGCTGACGTATAGACAGGATAACAGCATAACCATTTTAATAGTTATTTCCAACTTTTAAATAAGCGGTTTGAAAAAAAGATTGGCGGGATAAAGTGATTTACATTTGCAGCAATTATTCGCAGTAAGATTTGCTGTACACATTTTCCATAAAATATTAAAATCATTTCAAGGAAATGATTCAAACAAATTAAACAGTAATTACAGCTGGATGTTCAGCGTAATTTTTTCAGATTTTCCGCAGAAAAGAGTCTGTATTATTTACGTATTTGATGGTGGAAAAGTTGTACTGTCTTAAGACTGGAAAAGTTGACCCTTGGCTGATTGGAAAATTGCCCAGTCACGCTTAAACGTTGTACGATAGAAGTTGAAGCCATTTCGTTGACGAGCTGCTGTGTGTAACGAGGCTATAATTTAATTTCCTTCAAGTTGATAATTTCACTTAAAATTCTCCAGCTCTGAGCTCATTGAAATCCAACAACAAAACCCACACAAAATCGTTATAACATACAAAAAAAAAAAGAAGCAGCGAAGTACTGTAACCACTTAAACTTTAAGCAAAAGTGAACTGTAGGGCTGGGTATATTTTTACTTTCCCTATGGGGCTGGGCTGGGGCTCAACTTTGTTTCGCTTTTCATTGGATACTTTTTGTATGCCAATTATAAAGCTGCATGAGCTGCTGCTGCCAAAAGCGAAAAACCAAGTTCAAGTTGTCCTGCCACTGCCACTCGTAGTCCAAAATCCTCTGTGCTTATCCCCACTCCAAATGCCATTCCATTCGGCAAAAGTTTGATGCAATTTTTATTTGAATTTTCGCTTTAAAAGCTTTTGTTTTTGGCTTGTGGGTTTAATGGTTTTTTGGCAGTGTGACAACAAAAACTGGAATTGAAAATGAAAATAAAAATATGCATAATCCGAAACAGGTTGCGGGAAATATTATGACATGAGGGAGAGAAAGGGGACATAATTCAATGATGGGCTTTCGCCTCGCCCACTTGTGTCTTCCGATGAAAACCTTTTCATCGGTCGCTCAACATTCAATCAATAATTTTGTCAGCATCCGTAATTAAGCTTAAATCGAATGGCTTACCCAGCGTACTCGTATAGTGATGTGACATTCATCTCAGATACTGACCTGCAAAAGACACAGAGGAGAACGAAAAAAGGAAATGCAATTATAATGAGGTCAATTATGATGGTTTTTTTTTTTCTTTATCTTTTTCTGCTTCGTTTTGTCTTTTCTTTTTCTTTTTCAGATCATTGAAAGGAGGCACAACAGTTGATTACGGGGATAAGGTTGAGGATATAATGATGGAGTAGCAACAACGTCTAGAATAACATATCTACAACAATATTATCTAGGAAATTTAATTTTCTGTTTATTTATTTTTATTTTCTTTTAAGAGGATTCGCTTACGGTGAAAATAAAGTCAATTTTTTGTTGTTCTTGCTGTAATGCTGTAAATTGCATTTCCCTGCGAGGGTTAGACGATACCCCCAGGGCTACAGCAACAAGAGAGAGAGATAGCAGCAGCAGCAGCAGGAGCAGCAAAAGTGACAGAGAGGAAGATAGAAAATCTGCAAAAGTTTATGGGGGGAAAAAAAAGCGCAACAAAAACAGTAGACGACAACGGCGTTGAAAGCGAAGGAGCCGGGAAGGAGGTGGAGTTGGATGAGGAGCATGAAGAACCCTAGTATCAAATGCAAAACGGAAGTGGAAGTGTTATTTTTTCCTTTGTTTTTGTTGTTTTTCAGTACTTGGCCAGGAAGAACTTGAAGTTGGGCATGGCGATGGGGGGGGGGGGGCCCAAAACTTTGGGGGATGTTGTTGCCCTGTTTGGGGCGTGCGACACGGATGAATAAAATCGTATCAAATGCGATGCGGGTGCAGGAGTCCCTTCATGGAGAGTTGCCAGATCATCGTTGTCATTGAAGTGGGAAATGAAGTGTGCAATAATACGAAATGATATCTATATGTGTCCAAGTAGGAATACTTACAACAGACTGCTACTGATATTTATACATGCAAAGACTCATGAAATTAAATAAAAATACAACAATGTGTCCCTGAGGTGGCAAAGGTAAAAGGTTTTCAATAGAAAGAAAACCAAAAAGCATACAATAAATAAGGAAATTAAATCAATCTCTCTCTCTGTCTGCGAAATGGGGCCGCATTATTGTCCAGAACATTGTCTGACAAGTATTTAAATCTGTTAGCAAATATTGTGTGTTAATTTTGATAAAATGTATGCTATAATTAGCTAAGAGACTGCACCCATAGAATAATATACAATATAATCTTTTCCCGCTTACTTAGTCACAGATTAATCATTTGTTTTAAAGTATTTAGTCTCTCAATTCTGCCAAGCCAGAAACTTATTGAGGCTGATTGCCACAATTCTTCCACCTACACAAAATGTTCAATCTTTCAGCTCAAGTTCCTTGATTTTCCCTACCTTAAAGCAAAGCCAGTGATGATTTATTTCAGCCAAGAGCTGAGCTGAGCTGAGAAACTCTCATGCAAATACAAGTACTTTTCATCTCAGAAAAGTTACACGAAAAACTTACAGAACTGAAGTGAAATTCTGCTGTGGGCCTGAGGGCCCATCTCTCTCCCTCTCTCTCTCTCTCTCTTTTGCTCTTTCAATCTCAATATAAATCTTTCTCCCGCTCTGCCCTAGCTCTATCGGTGCTACAATCAATATCACACTTTGGCACAAGTTTCATTAGAGAACATATTGAACTATGTGGGTGGGCAGGCAGAAGTTTTGCTCCTTCAGCCACACACCAGAAGGGGAGAGAGAGTGCAGAGTGCGATGAGGAGATTGCACGTGCCAAAAGTCTCAAGTTTAGCCGTTGTTGCGGCCACTGAACAACAAAAAATTCGCTCCGGGCAAGGACTCTTTCCTATGTATAAGTATGGGCGTGGAATGGTGGCTGGGCAGTGTGATGAAGGCTGCAAAAGATGAGACGATGACGACGACAGCTTGGACATGTCATGGGTAAACGCCACGTGAGCGTTTGGCTTGGCCTTTGGCAAATTTTCTTATTGCATATATGAACAGTAGGTAAAAGACGGAGAGAGAGAGAGAAACAGGGAATGAAAAGAAAAACCCGTGAACAAAAATAGTGCTGCATATTTATGGGCGCCCGACACAGCCCACAGAACGGAACGGCATGGAATGGAATGGACCAACCAACGAACCGTTTGAAGGCTTTTGTAATTAAAAAAGCAAAAATCTTAACACAGCCCCCACTTTACCACGCCCCTTCTGTTCGCTTTGCCTTTTATGTGGATGGGTTTTTTTTTTGCGCAATGGTTGGGTGTGGCTGTGGCTGTGGGTGGGGTGGGGTGGGGTGGTGTGGGGGGGACAACGCTTAAGGATACTTGTGCAAGATTTATGATGTGTTAGTTTTTTCGAGTGGAGTTTTTTTTACGCCCGACATATGTATGCATATGCATGCTCAAGCGGCAGAGGACATGCAATTTCTCTTGCAGACCATCCCACCCCCACCCCCCGGCCAACCCACGCAATGTCCCGCAATGTTCCGCTTTTGGCAAATGGCGCTCAATTTTTTAATGAGCGCAACGGAAATGTGGAAAATGTCTCTGCTTTTCTCTCTCTCTCTCTCTCTCTCTCTCTCTGTGTGTGTGTGGGTGTGTGTGGCAGGCATGGGTGTCATTTTGATTTATGAACATCGCCCTGGCATCCGACAGATTTTGTCATTTTCAGCTGTCTCCCTCTTTATCCATCCCATGCCAGCCCCTGTACCGACCCCTCTCTTTTTGAAACGCTGTCTCGCCGCTCCCTCTGCGGTTTGTGGTGCGCTTTTAGGCGAAGCGCAAAAGGAAATTATTTTTAATGGTCACAGTCATGAAGTGTCCTCACAGGCCCCGTAGCCCCCCACCTCCCCCTATTGATACGTAAGCCCTTCGCTGACTGCAAAAGCACTTAAACCATATTTACGCACATGCGTCCATTAATCAAACAATTTATCAAAACATGTCATTCGAAAATGTATGTGGAAAATGCGGATATATGTAGGGGCTAGGCAGGAGGCAGGACGCAGGCAGGAATCGAATGACTTGTGGACTCCTTGAGAGTATCCATGTTGTGACTTGTCAATCATAATGATGATTAGTCACATTTCTTAGCCACACACACACATTTTTGTTCCTGGCGCCATGTCGAGTGCCAATTATCTTTGGCCAAGTGCAAACAAATATATACTCGTACAGGGCGGCTCTGCTCTTAAGACAGAGTAGGGCCCAAAGCCTCAAAGTACGGATATGCCAAGCATATTTACATACATAAGCGGCTCCTATGGCTTGGCTTATACGGCTATAGTTTATCAAGTGCAACAAAGAAGACACGGAAAGAGGTTAATAACTACAGCCGCAAACACACTACGGAAAAATACGGAAAAAAGCAAAGCAAAGCGAAGACAAGAGAGAGATTTGAGGCGAAGCACTTTACCATCCCACCCACCACTTACAGGGGAATAATGCAAAGTTTTGTGAAAAGAATACACACACACAGCAGCAGCAGCAGAAGGCTTTTCTGAAAAGGATATAAGCAGGCATTTAACCTCTCGGATGTTGAGCCATCCATCAGACGATTGCCTTACACCCTCAATTGATGGCGGGTCAATATTTAAATGTAAAAGTGTTTAGACGATGAGAGAGAGATAGATAGAGATGGATCATGTTTCCAAATGCTACAATGCACATCCATTTTATCTATTTGTGGAAGGAAAATTATTTAAAGCAAGTGGGATTCGGAGGGAGGCCACAGCCAGTAACAGAGTCTGTAGAGTCACACAGCGTACAGAACTAACAGTGAGTTAACAGAGCTAACCGAAACCAAACTGCAACTGCAAGTAAAAGAGATAAGAAGCGGCTGTTGATTCGAACAAAGGGAGAGAAAAGAACCCCTCTATTCGTGAACTATCTATCACAATAAATATTCAACTTTAATTCCTTGTAGAGTACAACTTTGTATATACCCTAGAAAAGTTACTTAAATAATTGCTTGCTGTTGAATTCAAAACCAGAACAGGTCCTGGTTTCCATTTAGTTTGCATTTCTCAAGCAGGGGCAACTTTTGCCCCTATTCTATTTCTCAAGCATGTAGCTTCCACCTGCTTTTTCCTACTCTCATCGCATCGCATCCGTTTTGCATACAAGCTACATTTTTGAAGGCGCACACTCTTAGGTGCTCTTGTGGTGGTGCTGGCATCCCAGGGGGTTTCCTTCATTTTGGCAATTCTTGTATCCCAAACCAACCCATGCCATTCCAGCATCTACCACACATTCCGCACCTCTCTGTGCCGCAGTATGTGTTCCATTTATATATATATCATATATGCATGTGTGTCAAAGCCGTGTAAAATAATACAAAAAAAATGTGTGTGGCATACTTTTCGCAGACCCGCACTTCTCTCTCTCTCTCTCTCTTTGTCTCACTGAGAAAATCAGCATTCATTCATTTTTATGGGCTTTCTTTCGTTCTGACTTTTTGTTTCGGTCTGCACCGCCCCCCATTCACATAATTGAATTTTTATGACCTGCTGCCAAACAGGCGACAAGGCGAGGAACAACTTCAACAACAACAAAAAAAAGAATTAGGATCCACAACAACAACAAGAAGAACAATAACCCCAAGTGCCATAAAATTCCCATAAATCGTGAATTTCAAAATGCGCCTATGGCGCTGCTGGGCTGGCAGTGGTGGGAGCAGGAAGAACCATCTTTTATTAGCTGCCATAATCGAAGTTCGGGCTCTCCTCCATATGCTCGTTTACTGCGTTCAAACATGCGACAATCGCAGCCGAAAAATTGCAACTGCAATTCGAGCTTTACTCCGTTGTAGATTCTTTGGAATGGAATACTCTGGGGCTGGTTTTTGGGGCTGGGCGGATACGTGTTTTTCCAAGTAAAACTTTGGGCCCTCGTCTAGCCCCGAAAAGGCATTTCCGGGCAATAAAACTCTGGCGCGTAGCAATTTTCATTGCAGTTAGTAGGCGGAGCAGTGCAACGAACCCAGTACCACGAACAACTTTTGTACATGGCGTGATATGCGCCTAAAAGTATGCAGCGACTGCAAAAACAGAACAAACCGTCTGATAAGCATA